ACGGTCTGCTCGATCATACTTGGACCATGCAAAGACAGAGTCCGTTCCTGTCTAGCGCACCAAGGCGGCACGGGGGGAAACCTCGCTGGGGTTCTGTAACCGTGGCGGCGTAGTGGAAGCGGAGTTCGGTGCCTGGGTCTGCTCATTTCGTGAAGCAGAGCATATCAGCCGATAGTGCGAAACGATTCGGATCCGGGCCAACCGTTTACAAGACAGGTCAGTCGAAGGCATCCTTTCAGACCTACCAGTGACCAGCCGACACCCGGTCGTTCAAGCCACCGTAATCGCATCCGAATTCGCAACTGGAAGAGGTGGGTGCGAGTACTCATCCGCTCGGCGCGCCCCGACAACGCAAACACATATGGAGAAAAATTGAATTTTCTTTATGTTGAAGGCGCCAAGGCGATGGCCGAGATCAAGAAGCAGATCAACATCCCCCTCATCGCCGACATTCACTTCCACTATCAACTCGCCATCGAGTGTGCCATGGGCGGCGTGGACTGCCTGCGCCTGAACCCCGGCAACCTGCGCAACGAGGACCAGGTCAGGGAAGTCGTGAAGGTCGCCAAGGAGCGGGACATTCCCATCCGCATCGGCGTGAACTTCGGCAGTTTGCCCCCGGTGGGCGGCATTGGCCGTACCCGGGGTTTCTCCCGCCATATGGACCTGGTCAACCGTTTGCCCAAGGCCGGCGAGGCCCAGGCTGGCGAGTACAGCATCGTGGACCACATGGTCGCGACCGCCCTGTGGGAAATCAGCCTGCTGGAGAAGCAGGACTTCGACCAGATCAAGATTTCCCTCAAAGCCTTTGACGTGCCCACCACCGTGGAGGCCTACCGGCAACTGGCCGACATGGTCCCCTACCCCTTCCACTTGGGCATCACCGAGGCGGGGACGGCCCAGTCCGGCTCCATCCGCACCTCCGTGGGCCTGGGCTACCTGCTCTACGAGGGCATCGGCGACACTATTCGGGTGTCCCTCAGCGATGATTCAAAGGAAGAGGTGGTCGTCGGCTACGAGATTCTCAAGTCCCTGAACCTGCGCACCAAGGGCACCATCCTGGTGGCCTGCCCCAGTTGCGGGCGGGCCGACGTGGACGTGCGCAAGCTGGCCAACGACGTGGATGCGCTGCTGAAGAAGACTGACAAGAACATCAAGGTTGCGGTGATGGGCTGCGAGGTAAACGGCCCCGGCGAGGCCAAGGACGCCGATGTAGGCATCGCCGCCGGCGCGGGCCGGGCGGTAATCTTCCGCAAAGGCCAGAAGGTGCGGGTGGTACCCGAAGAGGAAATGCTGACGGCGCTGATGGAAGAAGTGGAAAACACCCCGGCGCCGGTGGGCGACTAACCGGAGGTGCACCCATGGCCAGCATTACTGTACGCAACATTGACGAAGCCCTGAAACAGCGCCTGAAGGAACAGGCCGCCAGGCACGGCTGTTCCATGGAAGAAGAGATGCGGCGGATTTTGGCGGAGGCTTTGCCTTATCACAAGCCCCCTCCTGAAGCTCTGGGCACTGCCATTTATGAACTATTCAAGCCTATTGGCGGGTTAGTTTTGGAATCGCCCACTGAGGGCGGCAGGCCACCTATCTGGCCAGTTGGGTATTGGGAAGCGGAAGAGGACAATGATTGTAGTTGATACCAATCTGGTATCAGAGCTCTTGCGGGGGTCTCCCCAACCCGAAGTGCTCAGCTGGTGGAATTCTCAAATACCAGGTGACCTTTTCATCACAGTGATAACTGAAGCAGAAATGCGCTATGGCGCCGCCATAATGTCACCCGGCCGCCGACTCCAGGAACTCCTGATTAAGATTGAATATATGCTGTCTGACTATTTTGATGGAAGGGTCCTCAGTTTTGATGTTTTGGCGGCAAGGGAGTACGCCAGGATGCTGGCAGATAGAAGGGAATTAGGTCGTTCGCTTCCAATCCACGACGGCATGATCGCCGCAATCGCCTATTCCAATGGAGCTGCAGTTGCTTCCCGTAACGTACCCGACTTCACGGACTGCGGCGTTCAATTAATCAACCCCTGGCAAATCTGAAGGACAATCCAAGTATGCGTTTAACCAAACTGGTTACCAAGACTTTGCGGGAAGACCCTCCCGAGGCGGAAACCGCCAGCCACCGCCTGATGCTGCGGGCCGGCCTCATATACCAGGTCGCCGCAGGAGTTTACGCCTACCTGCCCCTGGCCTGGCGCGCTATCCGCAAGATAGAAAACATCATCCGCGAGGAGATCGACGCCGCCGGAGGCCAGGAGTTGATGATGCCAGCGCCCTGCAGCCCCGGGAACTGTGGGAGCAGACGGGCCGGGCCGATTCCATGGGCGAGGTGCTTTTCTCCCTGGAAGACCGGAGGGGCCGTCCCATGGTGCTGGCCCCCACTCATGAAGAGGTAGTTACCAGCATAGTCCGGGCCAATGTGCAGAGCTACCGCGACCTGCCCGTAATTCTCTACCAGATTCAGACCAAGTTCCGGGACGAGCCACGACCCCGGGCAGGGCTGGTGCGGGTGCGCGAGTTCGACATGAAGGACGCCTACAGCTTCAACACCGACGATGACAGCCTGGACGACAGCTACCAGGCAATGGCCCAGGCCTACCGCAACATCTACCGCCGCTGCAGTCTGCCCGTCCTGATGGCCGAGGCGGACAGCGGCGCCATCGGCGGCAAGGACTCCCACGAGTTCCTGCTGGCCACACCCACCGGCGAAGACACAGTCATCACCTGCCCCGCCTGCGGCTACACCGCCAACGCGGAAAAGGCTCAGGGCGTGTATCCGGACCAGCCTGCAACACCCGAACAATCCCTGGAGGAGATCGACACCCCAGGCATCAAAACCATAGCCGGCTTGGCGGACTTCGTGGGAGTAGCCACAAGCCAGACGTTGAAAGCCGTTTTCTACGCCGCCGACGATGATGTAGTGTTTGTTACCGTCCGGGGCGACCTGGAGGTCAACGAGGTCAAGCTGAAGAACTGCCTGCACTGTAAAGACCTGCGCCTGGCCACCGACGAAGAGGTGCGCGACGCCGGACTGGTGGCTGGCTCCGCTTCCCCCATCGGCGTTACTAACGTCCGGCGGGTGGCCGACCCCTCAATAATGCGCGGCAGCAACTTCGTGGTGGGCGCCAACAAGCCCGACACCCACTTCCTGAACGCAAATTATCCCCGGGATTTCGAGGTAGACGTCCTCACCGACATTGCCCTGGCCCAGCCTGGCCACCTGTGTCCCCAGTGCAACGCCCCATTGGAGGCCACGCGAGGCGTCGAGGTGGGCCACATCTTCAAGCTGGGCACCTCTTACAGCGAGGCCCTGGGCGCCATGTACCTGGACCAGGAAGGGCAGCAGCACCCCATAACCATGGGCTGCTACTGATCGCGTGGGACGCCTCGCTGGCCAGCCTGCCATCGGCAGAGCACGACGACCGCGCATTGCTCTTTCGCTCAGATCCATCGCTCCCGTACCCTGTTCACCTGGTGGGCCTGAATATGACCGACGAGGCGGTGGCCGCAGCGGCCGATTCTCTGTACCGGGAGTTGTGGGACAACGGTATCGAAACCCTCTTCGATGACCGGCCCGACCAGGCGGCCGGCGTGAAGCTCAACGACGCCGACCTGATGGGATTGCCCTTGCGCCTAGTAGTCAGTCCTCGCAACCTCCGCAACAACGCGGTCGAGATGAAGGGCCGTACCCAGGACGAGGCAACGATGGTGCCGCTGGAGGATGTGGCGGCGACAGTCATGCAGGCTTTACAGTAACAAGAGTAATCAGCATTCCCCAGAAAGACGCAAAAATGATCGCCGGATGGCCTGGAGCCGTCCGGCGATTTCTTTATTGTGCTTTAGGACCTTACCCGGCATTAGCGCTGTGACGGGTCGGAGCGCATTCATCCTGAAGAGATGTCGCCGGCGCAACGTGGCAATGGGCTGATACTGACCCTGAGATTAGATGCCCGTGCTCCCCGACTCCGCACTGGTAATCCCCAGCCAGGCTTACTTCCCCCGGGTTCCCAACACCGAGCCCAGGTAAACCAAATTGGCCTTTAGCTCTGGGGCGATGTTGCCTTGCCTCGACGACGAGAGCAACAACAGCAGGCGCAATTGGGCCGCCAAATCACCAGCCAGCTTTTGCTTGGCTTCCGCCTCGGTATCCGCGCCCACCGGCACCCGCAATCCCTGAAGCGGCAGTCGGGTACGCGATTCACCGGCCCAGTACTGGTCCAGGCTGTCGATGATAAGAATTGGGATGTCCTTGGTAACCACGAAGGGAGATTCGGGAGGGGAATCGTCAGGACCCAGCGCATCCACCTTAACCTGGGTTACGTCGCTGTGGTTGATGTGGAAGACCGACGCGTTGGGCTGGCTGGCGCTGATATTCCGCCAGTCCCAATCGCCGGGAGTGGCCAGGTCGATTTCCGATTCCACATGTACCGGTATCGAATCATCTTCGGCCAGGATACGGCCGTCTTCCGGTTGCACGTTGGGTTCCGATTGTGGTGCGGTCATAGATGCCTCAGCAATTGTAAATTTCCTGCAACGATCAACCTTCCTGCTACAAGAGTACGTCTGCGGGTACAAGCCGTTGGTTCGAAACATCGGCAGCAAGCCCAAACGCTTCCAGGGCCAAAGCACCCAGTAGGACGCTGCTACTTTCCGAGCCAAATATGACACTGACGGGCCTTAAACGCCCTTGTATTTCCAGGAAAATGTGGCCCAGTGAAAGTTCTGTACTGGAGCCGTCAGCCAGGCGAAATCTTACTGTGTCAGAACGTTCCACACCCAGTTCTTCCAAGATGTGCTGAGGCACCTGTGGATAGGTTGCCCCGGTGTCCACCAATTCGCTCAAGGGAAAGGAACGGTCCATTTGCAGGTTCCACAATACAAAGTCCATGTAGAATGTTCCCACTTCCCCTCCAACCACGGTTGCAGGCAGGATCATGGGCTCCCCAGCCTTCCGGTCCCTGTCGGTGAATGCGGCCTGTTTTTCCCTGCTCATCAGCTCATCATCCCATAGGGACCTACGCCTGCTCCACCTCAATCTCCCAGGCGTTGTAGACCTGTTCGGGCAGGGTTATGGGGCCGACCGCTTCCTCGTAGTCGCGGACGTGCTTGTTGGCCAGGAGGGCAAAGGCCTTGAGCATCTGAGGGCTGACCTTGATTCGGGCCCGCAGTATGGGCTCCCGTTCCTCCATCTGCTCGCCGAAGAAAAGGACGGCGGAGTAGAGGCTGCTATAAACGTGGAAGGAGTCGCAGTAAAAGGTGATGGGCTCCCCGGAGGCTTCGGCTCCCCGGGTATCGCCAGGGTTGACGTAAGTATCCTCCTGGGGTGGCTGGTCTTCTGGGGGCACGTAGGGACGCTGAATGATTGGCATTAGGTTGACCTCCCCGATTCTGTTGCGGCGTTACCCATTATACACAGTGGGGGAAGGCGAAAGGGCCTGAGTATGGCGACTATGGCGGGCGTGACCCCACCGGTTCACAAGCAAATCCGGACCAGTTTAAGAGTCCCAACTGTCCGCTGCACTAAGCTTGATGGGCCAAGAGCCGTTCGCAGCCCAGGGTTGGTGGTCCTGTCCCTGCGGCCCTCAAGGCGAAAGCAACCAGTCGGCCCTCACCATCAACCCGTAGACCCGTCCACCTCAACTCCCCCAGCGGCACAGGTGGTAATACCCGACGGCCAGCGCCTCCCATTCGTGGGTGGACTTGCTCACGCCGATCAGACCCAGTCGCCGCATGATGGCGTAGGCCAACTGGTCCGGCGGCACGTTGGAGTGGCGGGCAATGGCCGCGCGTACCTCCTGGGCCGAATAGGTATAGAGAGGCATTCGCTGGTCGGCCGACCAGTTGACCAGGGCGTTGTCCAGCATTTCAAGGGAAGGAGCCGGCCAGCGGAGGCCCGAAGGCTGCCCATACGCCACCGCTGACGGCATCCACCAGGCCACCAGTTCATCCAGGCAGCCCACCAGGTACTCCACCCGGCCTGTGGCGTCAAGGGTGCGGCTGCGGTTAGGGACCATCTTGATAACGCCGGTGTCGAACATCCGGTCCGACCTGAAAACGGCCCAGCCTGTTTCCATCACTCCGGCATCGAGTGCCAACAGTGTCATTTCCTGGCTTTCTCGCTTGAATTGGCCATGCGCAAGAGCCGGCCAAACCGGCGAAGCGTCTCAACGGGGTGGAAAACGCCGGCAGGCGCACAAGAATCGCTCATCGGAATGCCGCCACGGAAGGACCTCTGCCACTGATAACCGTGCGAGCGACAAAGCGCAGGCCGACGACCGTTGCCAGTCGACTGCCGTTATGTTTTGATGGACCGGACGGCGCCCTATCACAACCTGAATGACCCGGCTGGTCCGTCAAGCGATTCGTTGGCATCCCTACCCCACGGTAAAGGCCCACATAGAAATATGAGCCGCATTGAAGGCAGATCCAGTCTCCGTCATCGCGAGCCAGGTCGCCGCCGCACTTGCGGCAGTCTCTTAGCCTGTATATGTTCACCGGTACCCCCTTTGGTTGGTCAGTCTTGATTGGTTAACCAATATAGAACAATTGTTCTATACCAACTGTAGCTTGTCAAGGCCCTCGGTGCCCTGATTAAAAGCCAGGTCAACACGTCAGGCGGACACGGGCAGGCTCAAGCAGGTACAATCCTCCCGGCACTCTGCCGTATATGGTCTGCATCCCATCACACGGCAAGGAAACAACATGGAAGAAATGCCCGCAGAACGCGACCCGGAAACCATCTCGGATACCAGCCTGGTTACCAGCCCTGATCCAGACCCGGAACCCGTGCCTTCCCTGGCTCGCCGGTTGGCCGAGGTGGCCTGGGCCTTTCTGCCCCTTGGCTGGATTGCCTTCGGCGGCCCCCAGGCGCACATAGCTTTGCTCCAGGAGCGTTTCGTGGCCCGGCGTCGCTGGCTGGACGAGCAGCGCTTCGTGGAACTGCTGGGGCTGGGGCAAGGCCTGCCCGGCCCCACGTCAACACAGATGGTGGTTGCCGTGGGCACAGCAAGGGCAGGACCGCTGGGCGGGCTGCTGGCTTTTCTGTTGTTCCTGTATCCGGCAGCAACGGTAATGGCGCTGGCTGGCCTGGGAGTAGCCACCTTCCTGTCCGATGAGGGACGCCCCCAGTGGCTGGACGGGGTGCAGCCAGCTACGGTGGCCCTGGTCGCGGTGGCGGCCTGGCGGCTGGGCGTGGCCGTAATCAAGACGCGGCTCACCATGGGCCTGATGCTTTTGGGGGCGGTGGTCACCGTATTGGTGCGCCAGCCCTGGGCCTTTCCGGCTACGCTGGCCGTGGGAGGCCTGGTGACGGCAGTGGCCTTGCGCGCCCAACGTCACGAAGCCAGGGACGAGTCAGGAAGCGTGCCCCTGGACAATCTGGGCATTTCCAGGGTGGCCGGCGCCCTGCTGCTGCTGTTGTTCTTCGGTCTGCTGGGCGGGCTGATTCTGGCGCGGCTGGCGTTAGACCTGGAGTGGCTGCAAGTCCTGGAATCCTTCTATCGCACCGGGTCGCTGATCTTTGGCGGCGGCCAGGTGGTGCTGCCCATGTTGAGCGCCGAGGTGGTGGAGTCCGGCTGGGTAACGGAGCAACAGTTCCTGGACGGGCTGGCCCTGATGCTGGCGCTGCCCGGCCCGCTCTTCAGCTTCAGTGCATACTTGGGGGCTGTGGCCGGGGGCGTTCCCGGGCTGCTGCTGGCCTTTGTGGGGCTTTTCCTGCCCGGAGTGCTGATAATCTTCGGGGTGCTCCCCTTCTGGGAGACGGTGCGGAGGTATCCCTGGGTGCGAATAGCCTTAACCGGCGTTAATGCCACCGCCATCGGCCTGGTGGTAGGTGTAGTGTTTCTGCTGTGGGAACGGGCCGACCCCAACGCGGCCGGAGCGGTAATCGCCCTGCTGGCCTTTGGGTCGGTGATGTTCTTCCGGTTGCCGGCGCCACTGGTGATTATCGGCGCCGGCGTCCTTGGCTGGCTTTTCAGCCTGGCAGGACTGCTCTAGCTCAATGTCCCACCAGCTTTAAACCACGCGTAGACACGAGTCTTCATCCATATCTATCGGCTAAGGCTTGGCTCCCGCACCCTCAGAGTTCGCTGGCCATGCCAACAGATTGGTGAACACTCGTACTTAATCGTGGTATAGCAGAACCCTGCTAGCTGCCGAACTCTATACCGACGCCGACAATCTCTATCTGCATAGAGCGGGTGTCGGGGGCGCCTTCGGCGAAAGTTACGCCTACGGTGATGTTCAAACCCTTCTGTACCTCGGGGGCTCCTGGAATTTCAAAGCGGGCGTCCAGGTTGTCACCCTGCAAATCCACCGCCATGTGCTCCGCAATGCGTTTCTCACCGTCATACACGATTACCTCGTGGACCGTAGCGTGGGAGCGGGTGCGGAAGCTTACCAGCGCCGCTTCAGCATTGGTAGCCTTGCCATTCGCCACCGCCATGGTGGGAATGGGGAAGTGTACCCATGTGTTCTGCCCGCCGGCCCCTTCAATGCGGACGAAGGGCCCGGTGTGCCTTACTGCCGTTACTCTACTAAGGTACTCGACCTGCATGCTGGACCCGTGGACCCACTCGGTATATTTGCCGTCTGCCATTTTGTACCTTTCCTTCTTGCGACTTGAAAGCCACCACTGTCGTGACCTATCTGTCGGGATTATAGCCCGTAAGTTCGGGCGGGTACAGGGTATTAGCTTTAACGGGCAGGCTGTCGAGTCCCACGATTAAAGCCCGCAAAGAGTCGCCTGGGTCATCCGATCGCGGTTCCTCACATTGCGGCAACCACGGGATGCGCCAGGTACCGAGCCTGGCCGCCTTTCCATGATACCTAAAAGAACCTGCCCCGCTGCCGGCCCCGACGGTATGACAAGCGCACCAGTAAAGTTAATGACAGGCCCACTACAACAAGCCCGACGACAATAACTATGGGTATCAATACGCTGATGCTGGAGGAGCGAGCTACATAGGTGACATGTATTCTGGCTTTGGGCTGCCCGCCCTGGGCCCGGCCGTCCGCAGAAGAGGACATCCGCTCCAGCAGTTCGCGGGATTCAACCCTTCCCTGGTCTTCAACAAACTGGATGGCCCGGTTGAAGTCCCGGTCCGGCAGCTGAAAGGATACTTCAGCACGCTCATCATCCTCAAAGGAAGCCAGGTAAACCCTTTCAATCTCTCCGCCACGGTCGGTAACGTATTTGCGCAGCGCAGCCACTTGATCTACCACGCTGGCCACGCCAACGGTAAAGGTAGCGGCGGTACCGCTGCTCGCCAGCGTCCCCCGGGAGAATAGCGCAACGTGGATCGTAGCCAGGTCCAGCCGCTGTTGCAGCAGACTCAGCTGCGCCTGGGATCGCTCAATGTTGGCCCTCACCCGGGCCAGTTCCCGCTCCACGCTCAATAAATCCGACACCGAGCTGCTCCGTTCCATCAGGGACAACAGGCTCTGTTCTTCCCTGCTATAGACACCCAGGCGGGCTGTCAGGTCGATGTGCTGCTCCGTTACGTCCTCGCTGGCCAGGCTGCGCGCCTGAACATCGCCCAGTGCCTCGATCCGGCCCATGGCCTGGGCAAACCGGGCCTGGGGCACCTTTATGACAATGTCGGACCTGGGCCCTTCTCCCTCCCCTCCATCGGAGCTGGACAGTCGCTCCACAAGGCCGCCCAAACTTTCAGCTATGGCCTGAACTTGGACGGCTGAACCCTCCACCGACTCCACCTCTACCGCCACGCTGGCCAACGATACCGGGCCGCGGGAGGAACCCTGTTGAAAACCGCCGTTCACACCCCCTGTCAACGACGGCAAAGAACTTAAAGACCCAGGCGCGCCAGGAAATTGGCCAACCGGCAAAGTAATGGTAAAAGGAGAGGCAGCGTTGCCGGTTCCCGTTACCAGGGCGCTGCGACCGCCATCTTCGGATGGCCTCAGGGTTAACCTCGCGCCGCTGTCCTCGTCAGAAGATGAACCGCAGGCAGGGAAAAGGAACGCGAAGACAGCCAGAAGCAGGAAGGCAAAGAGTTTATTCATCTGCTGCACTCTTTGGGTTAGAATGATAATCAGGAATCGATTCTACTATAAATCCGCAGGAAACCTTTATGGCAAGGCATAACCTGCGAAAGGAAACGCATTTTTGGCCAATGTCACCCCTGTCAAAGTCGAGGAATCTATAAACTTGTCAGGCAACCTCAACAGGCAACCACACTCCAGGTGCCATAATAAGTCTTCTCGGCAGGACTATGGATCTGGCAGCCTTCCAGGTCAAGATAGCTGATGGGGTGGGCTGTTTGGGCCGTCGGCTCCAGCCCCGGGCCAGTAAGCCAGGAAAGCATGACCCATCATCTTGAATCCTGGTAGGTAGAAGAAGCGTAAAGTAAATTGGCGAAGCTGAATAGCTCTCTCACCCTTCTCCAGCTAAAATTATCGCACCAACCGGAGGTTTAACTAATGCAAAGATTGCTCCCTAGCCTGGGTTACGGGGCGTTGGCCGGGGGCCTGGTTTCCGCTCCCCTCATCGGGCTCATGTACCTGGTGGACAAGCTGGCGGACTTGCCTTTTGTCCCCTTTGCCTTGTTCGACTGGATCGCCCGGGTAACTCCCGGCCCGCTGATAACCTTCGGCATTGACATGATGATCGAGTCGCTGCTGCTGTTCAACCTCAGTGTGGCCGACGCGGCCAAGACCAGTGAACAAATAGCAGCGGTCTTGCTCGTGTACGTTATCGGATTGGCCGCCAGCGCTATTCTCTTTGCCGTGATGCGCTCACGCCCATTCGAACCCTCTGGCATCGGCGGCACCTGGCGTGCCAGCGTACTTTCCCGGCCATTGCCCGGGCTTATTGTCGGCCTCGTTGTGGGCTTGCCTCTTACCATTATCAGCCTGCCCATGGGCCAGTCGACCATGAACCCGGTGGTTACTTTTGTGGTGCTGATGGTATTGTTCCTGGTCTGGGGACTGGCCACAGGTTTCATCCAGCTTGCCTTGGCCCGGGCGGTGGTAACCCGGGAAATTGAGGTGACCGAGGAGGTCCGGTCGGTCAGCGTCATCGACCGCCGGCAATTTCTCATCCGGCTGGGCGCAACCACCGCAACCATCACCGTCGCCAGCGCCGGCCTGGGCGTTGCCCTTTCCCAGGGAGAACAGGCGCGTATCGCGGAATCTGTGGCAGACTCCATGCCCCCGGCGGAGATGCCGCCGCGTCGCCCCCTGCCCAACGACGGCGACCCGGTAACTCCGGCCCCGGGCACCCGACCGGAATACACGCCGGTAGAGGACCACTACCAGGTCTTCCTCCGCACCGAACCCACTTTCATTGACATATCCAACTGGGTGTTGCCCATCCACGGCCTGGTGACAAACCCCAAAGAATTGACCATCGAGGAAATCAGGAACAATTACCCATCCCGAGACCAGTACGTTACCCTCTCCTGCATTTCGGGTCGAATCGGCACTTCCCTCATCAGCACTACCTGGTGGACGGGGGCCAACCTGCAGGAGATCCTGGCCGACGTGCAACCTCTGCCCAACGCCAAGTACTTGCTTATCAAGTCAGGCGACGGATTCTTTGAAACGGTGGCCCTGGACCTGATCGCTTCCGACGAGCGGATAATGCTCTGCTACGCCTGGGACGGCGAACCGCTGCCCTTCGACCACGGTTTTCCCCTGCGCATCTGGCTGCCCGACCGTTACGGTATGAAGCAGCCCAAGTGGATCGTCGAAATTGAAGTTATCGAGGAATACCGGGAAGGCTACTGGGTGGAACGAGGCTGGAGTGAGATTGCCCAAGTCAAGGCCACATCGGTTATTGACACGGTGGCGGTCAGGGACGTAATCGACCGGGAAGGCCAGCGACTGGTTCCGGTGGGCGGCATCGCCTTTGCCGGTGCCCGCGGCATATCCAGGGTACAGGTAAGAGTGGATGAGGGCCCCTGGCAGGACGCCCAGCTGCGGTCACCCCTGTCGGAGACGACGTGGGTCATCTGGCGATACGACTGGCCCTTCGCCGCCGGAGACCACACCTTTGAGGTGCGCTGTGTCGAGGCCGACGGTACGCCGCAGATAGAAGAGGACATGGGCAACCGGCCCAACGGCGCCACCGGCATCCACGAACGCAAGGCTACGCTGTAGGGGTAGATTAGACGAAAGACCGGTGATAGCCTTCGTTGTACTGCAATTAGTAAGAGCATAATATGCGGCTATGGCCGTCATATTGGACGCCAACGCCCTCATTAATCTTTACCACGCGGGCGTACTGTCGTCGATATACCTTGCAACGGAATGCATTATCCCCGCCGAAGTTTATGATGAAGTTATACCAAAGGCCAGCAGGCAGGCCACGCCGACGCGGGCGAAATAGCTGAAATCATCGGACCGCGCACGGTGGAACCTGTTGATATTCCGCCAGAACTGGGGAATATGGGTCTCGGTGAAGCAGCAGTATTAAGCCTGTAGGTTGAAAGGCGGAGTTCTGCTGGAAACGAAGATTCTATGGTCAGTGATGACAGACAGTTCCTGAGGGATCTGCAAAGACGGGAGCGGCGGGAAAGAGTTGTCATTCGACGCCTAAATACGTCTCAGTTTATCGCTGACTCGGCAATGAGCGGCCTGATGACAAAGTCTCAAGCCTTGGAAGCCCTCACCAAAATAATAAACAGAGTACCAGACCATCACTATAATTTCGCGATTCATAGCCTGGAGCTACTATGAACGACAAGTTTAGCGAGAATACTAACCAGTTGTCGCTGTAAGTCCCTGAAGAACTGCTCAAATCGGCGGAATTCTGCGGTGAATTGACGGGTATAGATAAGTCGACAATGATTCTTCAGTGGCTACAGTCAGGCGCGGAAAGAGCTATGCTGCAATTGGTATGTGACGGTGAGTTAAGCACTGGCAAGTTTGTCGAACTGCTGGGAATTACCTACCATGATTTCCACCCCATGAGACAAGAGTACGGAGTAGAATTAGGTTCCTCCGAAGAAGAAATGAACTACATGAGTGAGAATTACAGCGAGCAAGTACGCGACAGTCTCAGGAAGTCCCTAAGGGTAAATCAGGAGTAGAACCCCATGTCCGAAAAACCGTTTATCGACTTTGCCCAGGCCCAGGCGGCCATGAAAGCCATTATCGACGAAGCCACCAAGCCGGGAGGTATGCCGGTGGCCATCGCCATCGTTGACGACTCCGGCAACATGGTGGCCTACGCCCAGATGAATAATGTGCGCCTCTACGCCCGCCGCCACGCTTTCCGCAAGGCCTACACCGCCGCCATCATGGGGATGGACACCGGCGTCCACGGGCAGCAGTTGAAAGAACGGGGCCGCACGGTAAGCGACTACGGCGACCCCAACCTGACCCCCGGCGAAGGTGGAGTGGTTGTAAAGTCCAGTGACGGGGTAATCATGGGCGGCATCGGCGTGGGTGGCTACCTGGTCCGGGACGAAGAACTGGCCTCCATCGGCCTGAAGGCGATGAATATAGAAGGGTGACGGCTGAATAGGTGTACCCATCGTTTCCAGGAAGGTCGAAGCTGCTTGCTGACGGTCTCACCGTACCGAAGAGTCTTCACTTCCTGTGAACAATAGACAGTCTTTCTCCTGGACAGTCTGTCAATTGACGGTAATCCTTTTCTGTAATATATTTCGTTCAACCCATTACGTTGCATTGGGAAGATATACTGCCGGAAATAGCTTAATTGGAGGTGGCCCCTATGCCAGAGCGCAACCCCTATATGCCCACATTTACCCAGGGCAGCATCAAGGCAAGCATGATCCAGCATTCCAACGTGGAGACCAGCGACGTACCCCGCAGCCAGCAGTGGTATTCCCGTGTCTTTGGCGCGGAATGGACTGAAGATGGACCCCGCTACTTGAAGCTGGGCAACACGGAATTGCACCTGCACGTTGAGGCCAACCCGCAGCCCCATCCAACCAACCACTTCGCCATCGAGGTCGAGGACTGGGACGCCTGGCTGGCCAACCTGCGGAACGAAGGAATCGACTTTGCCCCCGGCCGGGAGCCCAAGCTGAATGACGGCGGCAAGCTGGCCGGTTTCCTGCACGACCCGGACGGCAACATAATTGAAGTCATGTACCACGCCGAGTGGCACTAGACCTAGTCTTTCCAGCAAGTTAATCGAATCGCCCCGGGCTGGTTAAGCTGCCCGGGGCGATTCGCTTTTTGGAATCTACCTAAAGGTCCAAAGGTCACCTAATCCGGCCAAAGGGCGACTACATACCTTCTACGAATATTGCGTTGGTCGTAGCTGAGTTGTGCCTCATCTCCTTGGGGCCAGCGTACTCATTCGAGTAGTACCACGCCTTGGCCTGCTCGACGCTGTCAAACTCCAGTACAACCAGGCGGCTCGGGTTCCAGTCCCCCTCCACCGTCTCCGTTGCGCCTCCCCTTACCACGTATCGGCCCCCGTAGGCCTCAATGGTCGCGCTGACCAGCTTGCGGTACTCCTCAAATCCCTCGGGGTCGGTAACGGTAACGTCGGCAATCATGTAACCTGCCATTGTCTTCCTCCTCTTCTCTTTCTGAACGGAATCTTTAGTGGCATTCTATCGGATTGGGCAACCGCACACACCCGCCGCAACCTGCCAATCGATGCAACAGCTTACAGGCACATTGACGAATTGGCTGAAAATCATTGCCGCGCCGCCAAAGGTTTCAGCTTGCCCCATGCCCTCTGTAATGGTACTTTACTGCGTAGCAAACAGCCCCATCCATACACTCAACCAGCAAACGAGGAACTGAAACAATGGCAACAATACCTGCAGCCCCTCATCGTAATTTCATAGGCGGACAATGGCTTGAGTCCGTGTCCGGCCGCACTTATCCAATTTACAACCCGGCCCACAAGGGGATGGCGCTTGGCGAGTTCCAGACCTCCACTCCGGAGGATGCCTTGCAAGCGGTCGCCGCAGCCCGAGAAGCTCTGGAAGGCTGGGCCAATACTCCGGCCCCGGCTCGTGCCCAGGTACTTTTCCGCGCCCTGGAGATTATGGGCCGCCGCAGCGACGAACTGGCCCGCACCATTACCGAAGAAGAGGGAAAGCCTTTGCCCGACGCCATGGGCGAGGTCCGGCGGGCGATGAATATCATCGAGTACGCCGCTGGCGAGGGACGCCGCATGTTCGGCTACACCACCCCATCCGAGTTACCCAGCACGGTAGCCTATACCGTAAGGCGACCGCTGGGTGTGGTTGCCATCATCACTCCCTGGAACTTCCCCATAGCCATACCCGCCTGGAAGATGGCCCCGGCCCTCATCTGCGGCAACGCCCTGGTATTCAAACCGGCGTCCATCACCCCCCTCAGCGCCGTAAAGCTTACTGAAGTTTTCGAGGAAGCGGGCCTGCCCCCGGGTGTCTTGAACCTGATTACGGGCCCGGGCGGGTCGGTGGGCAACGCCCTGGTGCAAAGCCCGGACGTGAACGCAATATCCTTCACCGGCTCCACGGAAATCGGCACCGGCATCTACGCCGAGGGAGCCCAGCACCTGAAAAAGGTTCAGTGCGAGATGGGCGGCAAGAACGCCGTGATACTGCTGGAAGACGCCGACCTGGACAAGGCCCTTGGCGGCATCGTGCAGGGGGCCTTTGGCTCCACCGGTCAGCGTTGCACCGCCACCAGCCGGGTCATCGTGGAAGAGGGAGTCTACGACACCTTCATGGAGCAGTTAGTCCAACGGACCTCCCAGTTGAAAGTCGGCGACGGTATGGCGGCAGACACTGACGTAAGCCCCCTTTCCAGCCAGTCCCAGCTCGACACCGTCCTGAACTACATAGGCATTGGCGCCGAAGAGGGCGCACACCTGGCCTTCGGCGGCCGCGCCGTAACCGGAGGCGAGTTCGACGAGGGCTACTATGTTGAGCCAACCATCTTCACCGACGTTACTACGGACATGCGCATTGCCCAGGAAGAGATATTCGGGCCGGTGCTGACCGTTTTCAAGGCCAAAGACCTGGATGATGCGGTGGAGATATCCAACAGCGTCAAGTTCGGACTGTCCTCGTCGGTCTACACCCGCGACCTGCCCCGGGCGTACCGGTACATCAACACCGTGGACGCCGGTATGGTCCACGTCAACGCCCCAACGCTGGGCGGCGAGGTGCACCTGCCCTTCGGCGGCCTCAAGTCCTCGGGTGTGGGTCAGCGAGAGCAGGGCGTGGAGGCGTTCGACTTCTTCAGTGAGGTAATTACGGTGTATATCGACTACGCCGACACCTCGCGGACACAGGCAAGATTCATCTAGATGAGGCGGGGCGGCCTGATTGGAGCGACGAAGGTCCTGGCCGGGCTGGCTCTGTTCAGCCTGGCCCTCGCCCTGCCCGCCTGCGGGCCCTCGGACGAGGAACTGGACCGCCTGATTGACCAGCGGGCGCAAGCTATTGTTGATGCGATGCCTACCCTTACGCCGCAAGCGATTCCCACCCCATTGCCCACGGCCACACCCCAGCCTACGTCTACCCGAATACCGGACCCAACGGCGGCGCCAACAATTACGCCCCAGGCAATTCCGACGCCCTTGCCCACGCCTACGCCTCAGCCAACGGCCACTGCCGCACCTACTGCCACGCCGCAACCGATACCCACTCCCATACCTACGGTTACGCCGCAGCCAACCGTCACCCCTGTGCCAACCAGTAGACCCACGCTGGCCCCCACCGCTACGCCGTCAATAACGGATTGGAGCGAACGACTGGAGTCTCACGTTGTTCGCATTCGGGCTTCCGATGGCTACGGTTCCGGTTTCTTTATGCTCGACCCCTCGTCCAATTCACGTTGGTACCTGGTAACCAGCGCCCACGTGGTGGGCAACGACCAATTGGTAGAGCTGCTCTGGTTCAAAAGTACTATGCTCCCCTCAGCCAAGTGCTGGTGACATATTGACGAAGCTGCCGACATGTGCCAGCTGAATCGAGCGTCGGGGCATACCAATACGACTTTTTAGACTGGAGTGATATCATCTGTGAGCTACAGCCACGCGCCCAATCGATTACCTGAACGCCGCTGGTTGGATGCAGCTGGCAATCAAGACTTCGACGGGTTATCCATTGCGCGGCTGACGTAGGTCCTAGCTGCGGCTATCCTCACAGGGTGCGAGGGGATCTGTCCGGTAACTCAGCGCGTAGTTCATGCCGACCTAGACATGAGTGCTTTGGCGTATGCGAAGACGAGATCGCAATCTGGCTAAAGTGACACGATGACCAATACAGACAAAAAATCCATAATCCAGAAACAGCGCGCGCTCGCTGATAAAACGACCGAATTGAGACGGCAGCTTATCCGTACGTGTACACTCATGTCGGATGGGTACGGTTTTCCAATGCCTGGAAAATCGATCTGATCATTACGAACCGCTTACGCACATGCAGAATTACGACAGATTCGGTTCCGCCTTTAAAGGCTAGGCTCGTATCAAAATGTGAACAAAGATGTATTGGGTGCAGCGCGGCACTTCGGCGGCACGCCTCATCGCCGAGGGCATACAGTTATGACGACGCTCATATATGCAGCGTACCCTCTTCTGACCTGGTAGCGAGACAATGGTAGATGGTGGCACAATTATCGGACGGTAACCTTCTGAGCTGCGTAATCGCGAGTGTATGAGTCGCCCAACGAGACGGAGTTCATGGAGCGAATTGCCTTTTATAGGAGTCTGGGAGTCTGGTCTGCTCGACATATTTAGAGAGGAGAAGAACTTGTGGGACCAACTGAGCTGTGATATGTCACGATCGGGGTCAAGACAATATCGTTGCATGTCAGGTGAATTAGTATGGCCGTGCAGCCTATACCAAACCAGTCTATGTCTCCTGTCCTTGAAGCGGTATTCTATGCACTTGCCGACGTGATCAGGCAATTACCTGTTGACTGCAGTTCGTAAAAGGCCTGGCATCAGATTGGACTTGTGCCATTTCGCGCCTCGCCCTGCGCCGCCTGCTGGTCCCCTCGACGCGTGAGAGGAGAGAAATCTTACTCGCTGCTTTTGCCCCTGCTTGGTGCAGCGGGCTACTAAGGCGGCAAAGCGATGCCCACCCGTGACGCTGCGCATGATCATATCCACCACTCGCTGCGCCACGGCACGTCCCCTATGCCGATGACCCACGGCGCACAGCGCATAAGTCCGGAACCTTACCGCTGTATCCATCGGCACACATTGGTTTCAACTTCCACCCCGGCTCCGACCCCTTTGCCCACAGCCACGGCTGCACCGACGGCCACGCCCCAGCCCACGGCGACTCCGCTAGCCATTCCTGCCACAGCGACGCCGCAACCGACGGCGACACCCGTTACCTTTCCCCCCACGGCCACGCCCGTAACCATCCCCAACACTGCCACGCCCCAGCCCACGGCGACGCCCCAGGCGGTTACCGACTTCCGGGCAATTCACCGGCAGTCCTGGCCCTCAGTGTTCATGATCGAAACCAGGCACAGCAGGGGCTCCGGCTGGCTGATCGAGCCCGGCCTGATTATCACCAACGAGCACGTCGTGGTGGCGCACCGCACGGTAACCATCCGACAGGCCGAGAACCCCGAATTCACCGGCACGGTGCTGGCGGTGGACCGGAATAGGGACATTGCCCTGATCGAGTTCGACCAGGACAAGGCTCCCGTTAGAACGGGCGCCAAGCCGCTGCCCCTGGGAAATGTAGCTGCGGAAGACATCGCCCAGGAACTGATGGCTATGGGCTACTCCACCGGATCCCCCCGGGACAATGGCACCGTGGGCGCGGCTTCGGCAAATACTGGCGTGCTTTCCCAGGTGATTGACGTGGATGACGCCAAGGAGATCCGCAACCTGCTGATGGATGTGCCAGTGGATCCCGGAGACAGCGGCGGCCCGGTTTTTAACAGTCGTGGCAAGGTGATAGGCCTCGTGCGAGCGGCCCAGACCCAGGCCGCCGGCGGGAAGCGCGTCGTGGGCACCTTCTTTGCCGTACACGTCGACGAAATAAGGGAAGCATTGCCAGACTTGAAGCAGGGGCGGTCAAACAGGTGAGGACAGCCGGCAATTTGCTTTCCGACTACCCTGCGGCTAAAGCGCATGTGCCCGCCCCGCGCCGGCCAGGACTATCGCATATGGGTTCTCATCGGTGAATAGTTTTGAGAATCCTCAAGAATTTTTGCATCGACCCTTCTTCCAGACTCTTCGTGGACCAACGTGCGCCGAGTCCGCTGCCAACCCTCACGGACAACTCCTGCTACCCCCTCCTACCATGGTATTTGCAGCACGTCCTTCCCTTCCAGTCTCCGGTTAATCGCTGGCTAAGGTTCAATGGGTGGAAATGAGCGAAAATGTCGGAGAAAGTTGATCTTCCTGCCTACATCCCTGTCCCGACTATCTGTTGGCAGGGGGCTAAATGGCGGGAAAGCTATTTTTCTGTCCCACCCGGCCATCGGCCCATCCCGCCCGGCAGAGCCAGGGCCCTGAAATGTGATCGCCTTGCCACCCCACCTGAGTCAACTTGACCCGTATAGGTACGAATCCTATAAATGGCGTGGCGGGAACAAACCCTTTTCCCGCCCAACCTCTCGGTAAAGGTGTATCGGCTTGACGCAAAGCACCGCGCAGTCCATCGAAGACCTGACGCAGAACGCTCTTCAGGAACTCTCCCAGATTGACAATCCCGACGAGTTGGAGCAGTGGCGCGTCCGCATATTGGGTCGGCGCGGGGAGTTGACCGGCATTTTGCGTGGACTTGCCCAGTTAGACCTGGAAGAGCGTCGGCAAGTCGGCGCCCTGGGCAACCAGGCCAAGGCCGCCCTGGAAGAGGGCCTGGAAAAACGCGGCCGCGACATCAGCGAAGCCAGGCTGGCCCAGGTTGCCGACCTGGAACGAATCGACGTTACCCTGCCTGGCCGGCCTGTGGCCACGGGCCGGCTGCATCCTACCACCCAGGTGTTGCGGGAAATTACCGACGCCTTTGTCGCCATGGGTTTCAGCATCGTTGAGGGTCCCGAGGTGGAGTGGGACCACTACAATTTTGAGATGCTGAACATTCCCCAGGGCCATCCCGCTCGCGACATGTGGAATACCCTGTGGGTGGACTACGTTAACGAGGAAGGCCAGCGGCCCATGCTGTTGCGCACCCATACCTCACCCATGCAGGCCAGGGTGATGGAGAGCGTCCAGCCTCCTGTGCGGGTGATTGTTCCCGGAAAGTGCTACCGCTACGAGGCCACCGATGCCACCCACGAGTGGCACTTTTACCAGGTCGAAGGCCTGGCTGTGGACGAGGGTATTACCTTCGCCGACCTGAAGGGCACCCTGTACGAGTTTGCCCGCCGCCTCTTCGGCACGGAAAGAAAAGTCAGGTTCCGCTGCGATTATTTCCCTTTCGTGGAACCAGGCGTGGATATGTCCATTGACTGCTTCTCCTGTGAGGGCAACGACAGCAGTTGCCGTATCTGCCGAGGCAGCGGTTGGATCGAAATCATGGGCGCCGGAATGGTCCATCCTCGGGTATTGGCCGGGGTAGGCTACGACCCTGAAAAGTACACCGGCTTTGCCTTTGGCCTGGGGCCGGAGCGCATCGCCATGCTGAAGTACGGCATCGACGACATAAGGCACTTCTACTCCAACGACCTGCGTTTCCTACGGCAGTTCTAGAGGAAACTTCCTCTGAATACCCTTGGCTTGAGTGAGACCCAAGAGACCTATTAAAGACAACCGCAAAGCTGCCGGCTAAAGCGCCGCCTGACCGGCTTTGCACGAGTGAATCGAAGCCTATGCAAATACCTTTAAGCTGGTTGCGGGAATATGTGGACGTTGACCTGCCGCCCCACGAGTTGGCCCACCGCCTGACCATGGCGGGTGTCGAGGTCGGCGAGGTCACCGAACTTGGCGGGTGGGAGAATTGCTGCGTCGGCGAGGTGCTGGAGGTAACTCCTCACCCAAATGCCGACAGTTTGCAACTCTGCCGCGTAAACCCCGGCGCCGGCGCCGAAATGGAAGTGGTCTGCGGCGCGCCCAACGTGGCCGTCGGTCAGAGAAAATATGCTTTGCCCGGGTGGGGGCCAACCTTTTTAACACCCATAGCGGCAAGCACGAAACCCTCAAGGCCGCCCGAATACGGGGCGTGGTCTCCGAAGGCATGATCTGCTCCGAGCTTGAGCTGGGACTGGGCGACGCCCACGAGGGAATCGTGGTGCTGCCCGATGATGCTCCCCTGGGAATGCCACTGGACGACTATCTCGGAGACACAATCCTGGACCTGGAAATTACACCTAACCGCCTGGACTGCTTTTCCATCCTGGGTGTGGCCCACGAAATTGGCGCCCTTACCGGCAAGAAAGTCCGTGTGCCCGAGTCCAGCTACAGCGAGGGCGGCCCGCCAATTACTGAGGAGGCCAACGTCTCGGTAGCCGACCCCGACCTGTGCCACCGTTACACCGCCAGCCTGATCCAGGGCCTGAAGATCGGCCCATCGCCCCAGTGGCTGCAGGACCGGCTTACCAAGGCTGGGCTGCGGCCCATCAGCAACGTGGTGGACGTCACCAACTATGTGATGCTGGAGTTTAACCAGCCTCTCCATGCCTTTGATCTGGACAAGATGCGGGACAAGACCGTTATTGTCCGCCGCGCGGCCCCCGGAGAAACCCTGGAAACCCTGGACGGCGCTCCCCGTGAGCTGAACACCGAGGTGCTGGTGATTGCCGACTCCCGCGACCCCATTGGGTTGGGCGGAGTCATTGGCGGCGCCAACAGCGAAATAGGGGCCAACACTACCTCGGTTCTCCTGGAATCGGCTACCTTCAACAGTTACAACAACCGCCGTACCGCCGATACCTTCCGGTTGCACACCGATGCATCCCAGCGGTTTGAGAAGGGCCTGCGTCCGGAGTTGGCGCCCATCGCCCTGCGAAGGGCTACCCAGTTAATCCAGCAGGTGGCCGGCGGGACTATCGCCCAGGGCATCTACGACATCTATCCCGATGCGGACATACCCAAGCCCAAGGTGTCATTGACCCTGCGCCGGCTAAAGCAGATCCTAGGCATGGACGTCACCCTGGAGCAGGTGGAGGACGTCTTCCATTCGCTGGAGTTTGAAACCGAGCGGACGGGCGACTCATCCCTGGCAGTAGCCGTCCCCTACTGGCGCAGCGACGTAAATATCGAGGAAGACCTGATCGAAGAGGTGGTGCGAATCATTGGGTACGATAACGTGCCCACCACCATGCTCTCTACTCCCATACCCCACCAGCAGTCGGCTCCCATGACCGAATTGCGATGGCGGGTTAAGGAGTCTTTGGCGACGGCAGGGCTGCAGGAAACCATCAGCTATCCGCTGGTCAGCCTGGAGGACCTGGAAAAGGTCAACTATTCTGCCGAAGAAGCCATGCCCTTAAGGGTGGCCAACCCCATGAGCACGGAAAGCGACTACCTGCGTCCAACCCTGCTGGCCAGCCTGCTCAACACGCTGTCATACAACGAGGGGCATAACGAGGGGCCTTTCCGGTTCTTTGAGCAGGGGCGGGCCTTTTTGCCTCGCCCGAACCAGTTGCCCGACGAACGCGAAGTGGCGACCGGTGTGGTTTCCGGCCTCCGTTCCGAGCCGTCATGGCTGGTGGACAACGGCCCACTGGACTTTTACGACGTCAAGGGAATGCTTTCCTCGGCGCTGGCCTACCTGGGCTTGACACCTTCCTGGGAAACCGCCACGGCGGAAGAGGGCCCTGCCCTGCACCCGGGCCGGTCCGCCCGGATTATGTGCAGCGGTTCCCAAATAGGGATTCTTGGAGAACTTCATCCCACCGTCCTGGAGAGATTTGACCTGACCCACCGTCCGGTTACGGTTTTTGAGATTTACCTGGACAACTTGCTGGCCTTGCCGGCCCGGTCAGGCCGCAATTTCCGTTCGCTTACCCGCTACCCCTCGGCCAACCGGGACGTGGCCCTGGTTGTTGGCGATGACGTGCCCGCCGGCAAAGTGCAGGAGATCCTGAATCGGCATCGCCTGGTTGACCGGGTGGAACTGTTCGACGTTTATGCCGGGGAAAACCTGGAGCCTGGCACCAAATCCCTGGCCTTCCATGTATACTTCCAGGCAGCGGACCGCACCCTGACCGCCGAAGAAGTCAGCCGCACTCTGGAAGGTTTGCTGCGCACGTTGCAGCGGGACGTGGGAGCTACCCTAAGGGAATAGCATTGAGAGAATAGCACTGTTGCGTTCGGGGCCAGGCCGTGAATCTTTTGAATCTCTTGCCCCGGCCGTACCACCCAAACAGGCGCGCCAGACCTGAATAAGGATGAGTTATGCAGACGCCGCACCATGGGCATCAGGACCCCGCAGGTCATGGTCACCACCAGCCCGACCACGGACACCGGCATGTCGGTGAAGATTTGCTATCCGTAGAAGAGGCCTATCGGCAAATAATGGCCTGCTTCTCCCCCCTGGAGATCGAGGAAAAGCCCATACTGGACTGCCTGGGTCAGACACTGGCGGTTGATGTCCGTTCACCGCTGGCATTGCCACCCCTGGCCAATTCCGGCATGGATGGCTACGCGGTCAGGAGGGATGACATTGCCGGGTCATCCGAAACCTCTCCCCGCAATCTGCAGGTTATCGGGCTGGTAGCCGCCGGACAGGTTTCGACCCAGACCGTTGAGCCGGGCACTGCCATCCGGATAATGACCGGCGCTCCGGTTCCAGCCGGCGCCGATACTGTGGTCCCCTTCGAGGAAACGGACGAGATCAGCCGCCGTGCCTCGGGGCGCCCTCTGACCGACATAGACATTCAGGCTGACCTGCCCTTCGGGTGCAACGTCAGGCCCGCCGGCGAAGACGTCCAGCCGGGTATGCTGGTGTTGGAAGCTGGTACGGTCATCCGGCCGGCGGAAGTCGGAGTGATGGCCTCCCTCGGCCTGGACAGGGCCCAGGTGATTCGCCGTCCCCTGGTGTCGGTCTTGTCCACCGGAGACGAACTGGCATCGCTGGGCGAGGCACTGGCTGGCGGCAAGATTTACGACAGCAACAGTTTCAGCGTGGCCGCCTCGGTGGTGGCCGCCGGGGGTGTGCCGAAGATTCTGGGCATTGCCCGAGACAATCTGGAGGACATGCACCGCAAGCTGGAGCAGGTGGCTGACTCCGACCTGCTGGTTACGTCGGCGGGGGTATCCAAGGGCGATTACGATGTGGTCAAGGACGTGCTGACTGAACGAGGAGACATCAACTTCTGGTCCGTCCGGATGCGGCCCGCCAAGCCCCTGGCTTTCGGAATGCTGCGGGGAGACCCGGTGAACGGGACTGGGAGGCCTATACCCCTGATGGGACTGCCGGGCAATCCGGTGAGCGCCATGGTAGCCTTCGAGATGTTCGCGCGGCCGGCCATTCGAACCATGCTGGGACGCAAACAGTTGGCCCGACCCACAGTGGAAGGTGTCCTTACCGGCCCAATTTACAATACGGACGGACGACGGGTTTACGCCCGGGTGGAGGTGGAGAAACGGGACGGCGAGTATTACGCCAACCCCACCGGGCCCCAGGGGTCCAACATCCTGACATCCATGTCACGGGCCAACGCCCTGGCCATCTGTCCCGAAGACATACCCGCCAAGCAGGCCGGCGAGCGGGTAAAAATCATCATGCTTGATTGGAACGAAGAGGTAACTATATGACTGTCCCGAACCCCGAAGCTACCCAGCAGGAGGAGGAAACCCCTCTTTACTACCACATAAGCTTTGACCTACTGGAGGAACTCAACCGGTCGGCCATTTCCCTGCTGGCGGGGCGGCGCAGCCCCATGTCCCCGTCCCTGCTGGTAGAAGACCAGACGTTGAACAGTATCCAGGAATTGCTGGATGAGATTGCAGAGTTCTCCGCGCAAGATGAGGACTTCATCAACTCGAACATGCCCATTCAGGAGATTGTGTTCAGGACGATGCTGTTGCGGGGCAACAAACCGATCCTGTTGAGTGAACTGCACCACGAAATTACGGAGCGGTGGGCCACGCCGGTGCGTCCCATCAACGTATCCCTGAAGAATCTGGAGCGGGTTCTGGACAGCGACAACTACTACGGGTTTGCGCAGGTGGAGTAGGGATAGCTTTCAGGGCCTGAACTGGATTCCTCCGCAATCGGTTTGCAACCGTTCAAAGACCGATGCCGAGAAAGACCGAGACCGGTGCCAAGGGCACTGTCTCGGTCTTTACTGTTCCTCTGCCTAATATCCTTAGTCCCACGACTCCGGACCCAGCATAGAATCAAAAACACCCTTTCGCCTTGATGCAAAAGGGCGTTCTGCGGTCTAAAACCCCTGACGGGGACGTCGAGCGGCTAATAAAAGGCTGTGTCGTAACCTGAGGTGAAATTCGCGGTTTTGTGAAGTGTCTACATTACGCCGGACGCCACCACTATCCTGACCTTCCCCCGTCAAGGGGGAAGGAATTATTGAGACAGTTTCCGGGTGACTAAGCGGCGACCTTGGCTTCCGCGGCGATGCCGAGCAGCTTGTCGAAGCCGACAGGGTCGTTAACCGCCAGGTCGGCCAGCATCTTGCGGTCCACCTCGACACCCGCCACCTTCAAGCCGTGCATAAACTGGCTGTAGGTGGTGCCGGACTGACGGCAGGCGGCGCCGATGCGGACGATCCACAGGCGGCGGAACTCGCCCTTCCTCTCGCGGCGGTGACGGTAGGAATAGCTCCAAGCGTGGAGCAATGCTTCCTTGGCCCACTTGTAGTTGCGGCTCGAGGAGCCCTGAAAGCCCTTGGCCTGGGCTAATATTTTCTTATGGCGGTGGCGCTTGGTGACGCCGCGTTTAACTCTGGACAACGTAAATCTCCGGGGGAATATTGGCCAATGGTCTATACGTCGTAGGGAATAAGCTTGCTAAGCCGCTTGACGTCGCTCTTATCCACCATCAGCTTAGCATCGTACTTGCGGGTTACCTTCTTGGGCTTTTTACGGCGCAGGTGACTACTCATGCGCTTGCGCCGCATCAGCTTGCCCGTTCCAGTGACATGGAAACGGGCCCTGGCGCCCTTGTGAGTCTTAAGCTTCGGCATTGGCTAGGTCTTCCGCCTTTTTCTCGGTTTTTTCGCCCTTGGGGGCGCTGGGAATCAAAATCATGTACAAGGTCCGCCCTTCCGCAGACGGGGCCTTTTCCAGCCGCACTTCTTCCTTCATATCGTCGGCAATTCTCTTGAGCACAGACAACCCCAGCTGCTGGTGTACTGCTTCCCGACCCCGGAACCGCACGGTCAGCTTTACCTTTGACCCGTCGTCAATGAACTCCCTTACCTTGCGGAGCTTGGCTTCCAGGTCGTGGGTGCCGATATTGGGACGGAAGCGGATTTCCTTCAGTTCGGTATTCTTCTGGCCTTTCTTGGATTCTCGTTCCTTCTTGGAGTACAAGTAGCGCAGTTTTCCATAATCCAAGAGGCGACAAACCGGTGGATCCGCGTTGGGAGCTACCTCCACCAAGTCGACGCTGCTTTGCCTGGCCATTTGCAGGGCTTGATCCAGCGTCAGTACGCCAAGCTGCTCTCCGTCCTCACCGATGATGCGAACACGGGGCGACCGAATCTGCTCGTTTACTCTATACTGTCGTGCTATGCTGTCCTACTCCGAAAGTGTTACGTCACGAAGTGTGTATTCAGGAAGGGTTGAATCAATTTAGCACAAGCCCTACGGGGAGTCAATCTGCCCCGGTTGCAGGGTACGGGCATTTACGATTATTGGTCTGAGCCGGGCCCGGTACAGTGGTGACATTGGGCTGGCCGCCACCCCCGGCCCCTCTCCCTGGGGAAGAGGGGAGATTTGACGTATCAACTCCGACATCACGGCAAACCAGATAGACCGGCCCCGGTTTGGGTGCTAACATTTCCCATCCTATATACGCAGATGCCATTTATGTAAGGGAAGGCGGGGAATGACACCAGCAGAATTTATCGCCAAGTGGAAAGATACGACTTTCGGAGAGAAGTAGGCTTCACAGGAAATGTTCCTGGATATATGCCGACTGGTAGGGCACCCCACGCCGGTAGAATACAGAAACCCGGATGCCTTTACGTTCGAGAAAACAGTGCCCGTCGGTTCTGCCGACGCATATTTGGAGGAACACTTCGGCTGGGAGTTCAAGGGCAGTGACAGCCAGTTAGACGAGGCCTTTACCCAGTTGCTGCGCTATTCCTTCTATCTAAAAACGCCCCCTCTACTCATAGTATCTTCATTCCAAACGATATTAATCCGCACCAACTTTCCGGGGATGGAGACGGTACTGCACAAAATTCAGGTTGAGGAGTTGACCGACCCTGACAACCTGAAGATACTGCGTTCTGTTTTTTTTCGCCCCGGCAGACCTTCGCCCCAATCGTTCGGTGGAGGAAGTGACCAGGGAAACTGCCGACCTGTTCCGGTATATCGTTACGGATATGGAACAGCGGGACCAGGACCCAGAGAAACTGGCGCGTTACCTTAACCAGGTTGTCTTCTGCCTCTACGCGGAAGATTCGGGCCTGTTGCCCAGGGGGTTGTTTAGCGATTTGGTACGCCAACAGTATCGTAACCCGGAACTCTTCAACCGGGCCGTGAGAAGCCTTTTCCAGCAGATGGCCACGGGTGGACTGTACGGCTCTTCGGAGATTCAGCATTTCAATGGTGACCTGTTCAACGACTCGGAAACCGTTGAACTCAGTACCGTCGCCCTGCAACGACTGGCGGAAGCCACCAGCAAGAACTGGCAGAACATAGAGCCTTCGATATTTGGCACCTTGTTCGAGAGGGAATTGGACGCATCAAAGCGGGCGTACCTGGGTGCCCATTACACTGGCGCCGACGATATTATGCTGGTAGTGGACCCGGTGGTGATGGCCCCGTTGCGGCGAGAATGGGAAGAGGCCCGTCAGGAGATAGAGGTTTTCCTGGACGATGATGACAGCACGGCGGCCCGAAACCGGTTGGAAGCCTTCCAGCAACGGTTGGCCGAAATAAAGGTGCTGGACCCGGCATGCGGCAGCGGCAACTTCCTCTACCTGGCACTGCGGTCGCTACTGGACCTGGAGAAAACCGCCATTGACTTCGGTGCGGCCCAAGGCTGGCAGGAATTGCGACCGACGGTGAAGCCCGATCAGATGCTGGGGCTGGAGATCAATCACTATGCAACGGAGCTGGCACGCACGGCCCTGTGGATTGGCTATATCCAGTGGCATCAGTCCAACGGCTTTCCCTACGACCATAGCCCTATCCTGACGTCCCTGGATACCATCCGCCAGACCGACGCCATCCTGGACTTGTCGGACCCCGAGAACCCCAAAGAACCGGAATGGCCGGTGGCGGAGTTCGTAATTGGCAACCCGCCGTTTTTGGGTGGCAAGTTATTGAGAACGAACTTGGGTGACCATTACGTTGATATCTTATTTGGGAAGTACGAGAAAATGGTGTCCGCTGAGGCCGATCTGGTCTGCTACTGGCTTGAGAAGGGACGAAAGATGGTGGAGGGGAAGAAAGCCACCAGGGTAGGTTTGCTGGCAACTCAGGGCATTCGGGGTGGCGCTAATCGGCGAGTTTTGCAACGGATAAAGGAAACAGGCGACATCTTCATGGCTCTGTCTGACCATCCGTGGATTCTCGAAGGCGCCGCCGTGCATATTTCAATAATTGGGTTCGACGATGGCTCTGACACAGACCGATCTCTGGATGGCAACCAGGTGGAATCAATAAATTCCAATCTGACTGTGGGTGTTGATTTGACCGGGGCAGTTCGGCTAGAGGCCAATAGGGGCATTTCGTTCATGGGTGACACCAAGGGTGGGCCGTTTGATATTCCGGATTCGCTTGCTCAACAGATGCTTAAGAGCCCCAACCCACACAGCAAGAGTAATTCCGAAGTTGTGAAACCTTGGATAAACGGCAAGGACATAACGTCCCGGCCGAGTGGAAAATGGATAATCGACTTCGGTGATATGTCATTGGAGGATGCTTCCCTTTACGAGTTACCTTTTGAATATGCAAAAGTGAATGTGTTGCCAACTCGTAAGAATAATAAACGACAAAGCTATGCGGAAAACTGGTGGCGCCATGTGGAGCCGCGGCCCGGCTTGCGCCTTGCCGTCCGGGACTTGCCCCGATATATAGCAACCGCACGCGTATCCAAGCACAGGCTCTTCACGTGGCTTCATAATGAAGTAGTAACCGACAGTGCCTGCATCGCTGTAGCTCGTAAAGATGACTACACATTCGGTGTTCTCCACTCCTGTTTCCATGAACTATGGGCATTGGCAATGGGAACACAGTTGGAAAGCAGGCCACGCTACACGCCAACTACTTGCTTCGAAACCTTCCCTTTCCCTGAACCTACGGATGAACAGAAGGAAGCTATAGCGGATGCTGCACGAGAGTTGAACGAGTTGCGGGAGAACTGGCTGAATCCGCCGGGTATGCCTGCGTCGGAACTGAAGAAGCGGACACTGACCAACATTTATAACGCCCGCCCTACCTGGCTGGACAATGCCCATAAGAAACTGGACGCGGCGGCGGCGGCGGCCTATGGCTGGCCGGTGGATTTGGTAGAGCAGGAGATTCTGGAGCGGTTGCTGGCGCTTAACCTGGAGCGGGCGGCGGCGCAGTAAAGGGTAACCGGGATTACGGCGGGGAACGTAGACTGTCAGTGAACGAGGTTCCTGCCTTCGCAGGAACGACGGGGGTTTTGCAGGACCGGCGAGGTTTGGGGTGTTGGGTGAGGGCGGCCACGAGGGCCGCCCCTGCGTTTGCATCTTCGCCCCCATCCCAACCTTCCCCCGTCGAGGGGGAAGGGCCTTGTTCGGGGGTTCTTTTTTACAGGCCTAGCGCAGGGCCAGCATTCTTTCCAGGGCTACGTTGGCTTCCTGGCGCATTTGTTCGGGGACGGTTATCTGGTTGTTGACCTCTCCGGCGGCCAGGCCTTCCAGCACCCAGAGCAGGTAGGCCGGGTGGATGCGGTACATGGTGGAGCAGGGGCAACTGACCGGGTCCAGGCAGAATATGGTCTTGTCGGGATTCTGGAGGGCCAGGCGGTTGACCAGGCTGATTTCGGTGCCCACGGCCCACTGGCTGCCGGCGGGAGCCTCGTTGATGGTCTTGCGGATAAACTCGGTGGAGCCGTTCATGTCCGCCACCTCGAGGGTCTCCATGGGGCACTCGGGGTGCACCACGACGTTGATGTCGGGGTAGCGGTCGCGGGCCGACTGGACCTGGCCGGGGGTAAAGCGGGTATGCACGGAGCAGTGGCCCTGCCACAGGACCATCTTGGCGTGGCGAAGCTGCTCGGGGGTGTTGCCGCCCAACCGCTTGAAGGGATTCCAGACCACCATTTCGTCCAGGGGTATGCCCAGCTTAAGGGCGGTGTTGCGGCCCAGGTGCTGGTCGGGCAGGAAGAGGACACGCTGGGCCCGCTCGAAAGCCCACTTGAGTACGGCGGGGGCATTGGACGAGGTACAGACGGCGCCGTTGTTGCGGCCGCAGAGGGCCTTGATACCGGCGATGGAGTTCATGTAGGTGACGGGAATGATGCCGCCGTGGTCGCCCAATACGTCCTGCAAGTCTTCCCAGGCATCGTCCACATCCTCCATGGGGGCCATATCGGCCATGGAGCAACCGGCGGTGATGTTGGGGAGAATCACCTTCTGGTGCGGGGCGCAGAGGATGCAAGCGGTTTCGGCCATGAAGTGGACGCCGCAAAAGACAATGTAGCTGGCCTCGGTGCGGGAGGCGGCCTCCTGGGAGAGCAGGAAGGAGTCGCCCTGGAAGTCGGCGTACTTGATTATCTCTTCCCGCTGGTAATGGTGGCCCAGGATGGTTACATCGGTTCCCAGCTTTTGCCGCACGTCGTGGATGCGCTGGTCCAGTTCTTCGGGCGAAAAGCGCAGGTACTCTGGGGGAATCTTCTGCCACCGGACGTTGATGGCAATCTCTTCGGCCAGGGACTTGGCCGGGAGTTCATCTTCGGGCCGGCAGAAGGCGGCGTGTTCGATCTCGGTCAGGGGTATGGTTGGCGTCCTGGGCTTTGTTGCCATTTTCATATCCTCGGCTAAAGCTCGTATGCTCCATAGGGGTCCGGTTCGAGTTCTCGCTGAAGGCCCCGGTGCGACGGCTACGAGGGGATAGACCTCAGCACCAACGTGGCCACAACCCCCAGCAGGGCAACCGTGATTCCGCCGGCAATACCCCAGCCGGCCCAGAACACGCGGAAGATCCGGTCGTTGGTCTGGTCGATTCGCTCGTTAACCCGGTCCCCCGCTTCCGCCACACGGTCGCTATTCTGGTTAATTCTCTGATTGGTGCGGTCAATGCGCTCGCTGAGCAGGCCGCCGGTCTCCGAGATCTGCTGAGTGGCCTGGTCGATGCGCTGATTGGTCTGGTCGATTCGTTCGTTGGTTTCTTCAACCCGCTGGATGGCCAGAGTTATGCGGTCGGCAGCCTCATCGATACGCTGGTAAGCCAGGACTAAACGCTCGTTGGCTTCGTCGATTCTCTGGTTGGTACGGTCCAGGCGGGCGTTGATCTGCTGCTGGCCTGCCTTCAGCTCATTCAGGATGGAAACCACTTCCTCCAGTCGCCGGTCCGGATGTTCCAAGGCGCGGGGTTCGTTGTCGGTCATTGCAGCACTCCTGGACGCAGCTTCAACGTAGCTTCAACGTAGCTCCGACTTTGCTTCCTGCCAGGCAGGTGCGGGAAACCCTGCTCAGGACTTGTCCCCGGCCTGACCCTGCAGGGCCCAGGGGCTGGCCTGGCTGATTTCCACGTTCACCAAGTCGCCGGGGTTCACCGACTGGCCGGGCTGGACGCGATCGCCGGCGTCCTCATCGTCGGCAATGAAGACCAGCTTGTCGGTGCGGGTGCGGCCCTGCCACTTGCCCCGCTTGCGCCCTTCCACGAGGACCTCGAGAGTCTGGCCGACCAGGACGGAGTTGGTATCCCGCAGGATGCTTTCCTGGAGGGAGTCCAGTTCCTTCATCCGGCAGTCCTTGACCTCCTTGGGAACATCATCCTCCATGGTGCGGTGGGCAGTGGTGCCCGGGCGGGTGGAGTAGGCGGCGCAATGCACCTTGTCGAAGCGCAGTTCGGACACCAGGTCCATGGTCTGCTCGAACTGTTCTTCCGTCTCGCCGGGGAAGCCCACGATAATGTCGGTGCTCATGGACACGCCGGGGATGGTGTCTCGGATTCGCCCCACCAGTTCGCGGTAATGGTCCCGCGTGTAGGGGCGGCGCATTCGCTGGAGGACTTCGTCGTTACCGGCCTGTACCGGCAGGTTGATGTGCTCGCACACCTTGGGCAGGTCGGCCACGGCCTGGATGATCCGGTCATCCATGTAGGAAGGGTGGGACGTCAGGAAGCGGATGCGGTCGAGGCCGTCAATGTCGTTCAGGCGAGTGAGCAGCAGGGAGAGGTCAGGCTTTTCGGGCAGGTCATAACCGTAGGCATCCACGGTCTGCCCCAGCACCGTTACCTCGCGAACGCCCCGGTTGACCAGCAGTTCCACCTCGTGGGCCACATCGTCCACCGGGCGGCTGACCTGGCGGCCGCGGCGGTAGGGAATGATGCAGAAGGTACACATCAGGTCGCAGCCGTGGATAATGGGAACGTAGCAGGCAACGTCGGGGTGCGCGGGAGCGAGGGAACCGACGCAGCCTTCCCAGTCGAGGCCCTTGCGTTCGCCCACCAGTTGCAGCAGGGCTCGAACTTCTGGGGCTGCATAAAGAGGTCAACGTCGGGGAAGCGCTTCTGCAGTTCGTCGGTTTTGGGGCCCACCATGCAGCCCATGAGGGCCAGCACGCGGTCGGGCTGCTGCTTCTTGAGGGGGTTTACCATCCAGAGGTTGCCGACCACCTTGTCTTCGGCGCCCTGGCGGACCACACAGGAGTTCAGGACAATTACATCGGCGGCCTTGGCATTTTCCACCGGGCGAAGGCCAAGCTGCTCCAGGGCCGATCCCAACCGTTCCGAGTCGGCCTTGTTCATCTGGCAGCCGATGGTCCATATGTAGAAAGTATCCATCAACTCAGCTTATATCTCTATCCAAGTAGCCCGGCACTGGAAGATGCCGGGCAGGATCGGGTTGGCAGGTTTGCTGGCAGGGGAAGTGTCTTTTCTTCCGCTATGCCCGCAGGTTCAATTTGCCCCATTTGAGGTGGATTGGTCGGCTCGTGTGCCGATCTATGCACCTGTTCTTGCCGGACTATTCCATACCTTAGGGGACAACAATTATACCACTTTAACAAGCCGATGCCGGGCCCGGGCTGTAGCTTTCCAACCAATTCAAACAGGACAGGGCAAAGTAGACGCTAATAGGTACGCCGTGGCCCGAGTCCAATAGGCAGATGGTTGCTTCATTGTCCCCATTGGCAGCGTTGGTGTCAATGTTCCCGCTCCGGAGCAGGGCAATCGCGTCTTAATTCAATGTCATGCTGAGCCCTTCGGCTGCGCTCAGGGTGACATCAATTCAAGTTCGAGCAAACTGCACAATTTAAGACTCTATTGCCCAGGAACGAGAGACTCTACCGGGATTGGAATGCGTTTAACCTGTTATTTTCCTCAGTTCCTGTCCCTTCTGACCGGATAGATCCCCTTCTCCACGCAAGTGCCTATGCTCATATTGCCGGATTCAACTGGTGCCAGCCGGCGTATTGCTGGTAGGTGTAAGCAGCCTGGATTACTCCGGGCTCGTCGAAGGGCTTGCCGGCGATCTGCATTCCGATGGGCAGACCGCTCTCGGTGAACCCGCAAGGCACGGAAATGGCCGGAAGGCCGGTGACGTTGAAGGGTGCTGTAAAGCTCTTCCCCCGAGTGGTGGACATAGGGTCGAAGCCCTCAAAGGCTGCCGCCGGTTGGGTCATGGTGGGCGTCACCAGGAAGTCCACCGTCTTCATCACCTGGGCGAAGTCCCGCCGCGCCCACGTGCGCACCCGCTGGGCCTGGAGGTAGTCCGACGCGCTCATCAATCCGCCGATGCGGAACCTGCCGCGGACAATCTCCCCGAACTCCTGGGGGCGGGTCTTGAGGTTGGGCTCGTGGTAGGCGAAGGCCTCGCTGACCATGATCACCGAATTGGCGGCCCGCACGTAGTCCAGGCTGGGCAGGGTCACTTCCTCGACATGGGCGCCCAGTTCTTCGAGCACGCTCACCGCCTGCTCCACCCTGGCTACCACCTCGCGGTTAACGCCGGGGTCGTCGTCAAAGAAATAATGCCGGGGGAGGCCGATCCTTACTCCCCGAATGTCTTCCCGCAGCGACCGCGAGTAATCCGGCACCGGGGCATGGCTGGAGGTTGGGTCCCGGGGGTCGTGTCCGGCGATGGCCTGAAGCATGAAAGCGGTGTCCTCGACGGTGCGGGTCATCGGCCCGGCGTGGTCCTGGGACCAGCTCAACGTCACCACCCCGAAGCGGCTAACACGCCCATAGGTGGGCTTCAGGCCGACGATTCCGCACAGTGAAGCTGGGCCCCGGATAGAGCCGCCGGTGCAGGACCCCAACGCCCCCATACTTTGGCCCGACGCTACCGAAGAGCCGGAGCCGCTGCTGGAGCCGCCGGTAATGTGGTTAAGATTCCAGGGGTTGCGGGCCGGCTCGAAGGGCGTCGTCCAGTCCGGACCGCCCAGGGCGAACTCGTGCATCGCCAGCTTGCCCAGAAGGATACCGCCGGCTGCCTTCAGTCGGGCGGTGGTGGTGGCATCTTCAGTGGGAACACGTTCAATATCCACCTGGGATCCGGAGGTGGTGCGGATTCCGGCGGTGTCGTACAGGTCCTTGAGGGCAAAGGGTATGCCGTGCATGGGCCCCTTGTAAGCCCCCGCAGGATTTCCGCCTCGGCGGTTCGCGCCTGCTCCAACGCTTCGTCGGCCAGCAGGAGGATGAACGAATGGAGGCGGTCGTCGGTGACCTCGATGCGGTCCAGGCAGGCCCGGGTCAGTTCCACCGGGGAAAGTTCTCCCCTCTGGATTAGCTCCCCGGCTTGACGGATGCTCAGATAATGGAGTTGGGTGTCGGAAGTGGACATAAATGCATTCCTCCTTGGCGCAACTGGGGTTGAGCGGCGGACCGCTGTCAGGCCTCCGGCCAGTCAGGGTTGTTAGGACTCCGGCCAGTCGGGATGGAACTCCACGACCATTTCCTCGGCCCCAAAGCTAAGGGTGTGCAGTTCCCGGGCGTAGGCGGCGTAAACCTCGTAAATCGGTTTGAGCTGATCCAGTTCTTCCTGGCTCATACCCAAACCAGCCCGGTCGGCCATCAGCTTGAACTCTTCCATCGATGTTTCGCCCGTGTCAGGCATCGTACAACCTCCGGATTCCGCATGTGTTGCGGTTGGTGAATCCCTACTTCTTCAGGAATGGTGGGATTATACATCCCTCCTGACTAATGGAGTACCGGTGTACTGAGAACCGTCCGCCACAGGCATCCAAAGTCACCAAATATTGCTAATGCCGAAACGGCAAAGCAACCCTTGATCATTTACCGATTCCATAACATAGAAGATAATTCAACAGATAATCAGCCTGACAGCCGCAAACCATGACGAAAAATAGCTTGCGGGGTTTGGCGGGCCACTTTAAGATGTACCGAACGACTCAACGTGGCCAAAGCAGACCTTAAGCGAGGAGGCAGCCATGGCAGAACAATTGCAGCGCCCCACGGACAAAGCAGAGATTTACTGGTTTTCCGAGCAGCCCTACGGGCACGTCACAAACCAGGACCTGGAGAAATATGATTCGGGGCGGCTGGGCTTCCCCAACACCCACTTTGACCCCGAGAAAGCTCATGTTCTATACAACCAGTACCACGAGCAATACGCGTTGGCCGACGAGGTAGGGTTCGACGGAATTATGAGCAACGAGCACCACGCCTCATACTGGTGCATGAAACCATCGGTTAACCTGGATGCGGCGGTGATCAGCAAGCTCACCAAGAATGTCAAAATAGCTATCCTGGGCAACGTCATTGCCGTCAACGACCCGATTCGAATGGCCGAAGAGATAGCGATGCTCGACTGCTATTCCGGCGGCCGGATAATTTCAGGCTTCGTGCGGGGCACGGCGGTGGAGACATTGCAGGCGGGCATCGCCCCGCCGGAAAACCGGTCGCGTTTCGAAGAAGCACACGACCTTATCATCAAGTGCTGGACCACTCCCGGGCCCTTCCGCTACGAAGGGCAACATTACAAATACCGGGTTGTGAATCCCTGGGTGCTGCCGGTGCAGAAGCCCCACCCCGACATCTGGTTCCCGGGGACGGGCAGTCCCGAAAGCGTGGTCTGGGCGGCGAAACATCGCCACCCCTACATGAACCTGGGCGCCCTGGTGGACACCACCGAGTGGTTGCGGCAGGTCTATATCGACACGGCCAAAGAAGAAGGGTACAAGGCCGGGCCGGAACACTTCGGTTACCTGCTCCGGTGCCTGGTGGCCGATACCGACGAGAAGGCCATAGAGATTGGCCGGGAGTTCATGTGGACCATCGAGCACCGGCAAAGGGGGCCCATGGAGCACAACGACCCGCCGGGCTACCAGTCCCGGGCAGCAGTCGAAGTGAAGGCCCAGCGCCCCACAGGCAACGTAGCGGGGGCCGGCGGCCTGGGCGTGGGCCTCAGCTACGAGCAGCTCCAGGGCGTGAATAACATCATCGTCGGCAGCCCGGAGACGGTCACCCGAAAGCTCACCGAGGTGATCGAAAGGCTCAGCCCGGGATACGTGCATATCTATGGGAACGAAGGCCACATGGCCCACAAGGACGTGATGCGCTCCGTAGAACTCCTGGGCAAAGAGGTAATTCCGGCGCTCCACGAAGTCAAGCTGCGGCCTTACGAGTAGCCAATCCGTTTTCGGGCCCGCCGGGACTCCCCGGCGCGGCCCTGCCTCCAGGCAACTGTCTTAATACTCCTACCCTGGACCACATTGGACCGGAGGGCAGGAAGGTTCTCCCCGACGTGCATGAACTGTGATGAGCTGCCCTTTGGGTTAATTCAAGACTGACGAAACCAAGGAGAACCCATGAAGCTTGGCCTTTTTATGATGCCGTCCCATCCCCCGGAGCGGAACATCTACGATTCGCACCAGTGGGATTTGAACTACCTGGAGTTGGCAGACCGGTTGGGGTATGACGAAGCCTGGATCGGTGAGCATTTCACGGCGCCGTGGGAACCGATCCCCGCTCCGGACCTGATGATTGCCCAGGCCTTGCAGCGGACCAGCAGGATTAAGCTGGGTTCAGGAGTCCATCTTCTCCCCTACCACCATCCGGCAGAGTTGGCCCACCGCGTCGCATACCTGGACCATATTGCCCAGGGACGTTTCATGTTCGGCATCGGTTCCAGCGGCTTGCCCAGCGACTGGGCATTGTTCGACGTTGACGGCAACAACGGCCAGCACCGCGAAATGACCCGCGAGGCGCTGGACATCATCCTGAAGATCTGGCAGGCGAAGGGGCCCATGGAGTACAAGGGCAAGTTCTGGAACGCCAACGTCCCCGACACCATGTACGATGTCCTGCGGCCCTTTCTCTACCCCTACCAGAAGCCCCATCCGCCCATCGCCGTGGCGTCGGCCAGCTACCGTTCGCCAACCCTGGTCATCGCCGGGGAACGTGGATTCATCCCCATGAGCCTGGCCTTCAATACGGATTACTGTCTCAGCCACTGGGAAGCCATTGAAGAAGGAGCGCAGAAGGCGGGAAGAACCCCATCAAGGAAGGAATGGCGGTTGGTCCGGGACGTTTACGTTGCGGACACCGATGAGGAGGCCCGCGAAGCGGCAGTTGGAGGCATGACGGCCAGGGTCTGGCGGGACTACCTGCTCCGCATATTCAAGGAGTTCAACCTGCTGCACGTATTCAAAGACGACCCGGAAGTCCCCGACGAAGACGTTACGCCGGAATACATGGCCGACCACATGTGGCTCATCGGCTCGCCCGATACCGTCGCGGCCAAGATTCGCAAGCTGTATGAGAACGTGGGAGGGTTCGGCGGCCTGCTGGTCCTGGTTTACGACCACTGGCAGAACCAGGAAGGGTGGGACAAGTCGACACGCCTGCTGGCGGAAGAGGTGATGCCCAGAATTGCCGACCTGGTGCCTGAATAAGAGCTGCGTTAACGGTCAGCTTCCAGAACTCCAGGATAGACTCGACGGGCTTCAAGAGAATTGACAGGCGCAGTCCGACTTATCAAGACCCTGCACGGCCCGCAGGACGGCGGAACATGATAGAGGGAGGGTTTCAAATATGGCTACGGTGGGAACCGGCAAACACACTTACGAGTTGGTGGAAGACTGGGCCAAGTTGCCCGAAGGCTGGGTATTGGGTCAGACCGCCATAGTAACCGACTCCCAGGACCGTGTCTATCTTTTTAACCGCAGCGACCATCCGCTAATTGTCCTGGACCAGGAGGGAAACTACCTGACTTCGTGGGGCGAGGGAGTCTTGCACGACGCCCACGGCATGTTTATCGACGACGAGGACAACCTCTATCTGCCGGTAAAGAACAATCATGTTGTGCTGAAATACACGCGGGAAGGCAATCTGCTAATGACCCTGGGTACCTGGGACCAGCCCTCCGACACCGGCTGGTCAGGCAATTACTCCGACCCAGCCCTTCGAGCGGCGGGCCCTTTCAACCGCCCCAGCGACGTGGCCCTGGACGCACAGGGTGACATGTACATCTCCGACGGCTACGGCAATGCCCGCGTCCACAAGTTTTCCGCCGGGGGCAAACTCCTCTTCTCCTGGGGCGCCCCAGGCAAAACGGCGCCCGGCGAGTTTCACGTCCCCCACGGGGTATGGGTCCATAACGACGGGCGGGTGTTCGTGGCAGACCGGGAAAACAACCGCATCCAGATATTCTCCCCAGACGGCGCTTTCCTTGACCTATGGACCGACTTCGCTCGTCCCTGCGACATTTACGTAGATTCAGACGATACCATGTTCGTAGTTGAGTTGGATGCTTTGGTTAGTATTGTGACCATTGACGGGCAGTTGATAACCCGCTGGCCGGCTCCCACCGAAGCCGACCCAGGAACCGGCGCCCATGCCATCTGGCTGGACTCCCGGGGCGACATATACGTTAACCGCAACCTCGAGGGTCAGCGACTGCTCAAGTACCGCCGCCTCGCCTGAAGATCGGGCGCTTCCTTACCGCTCACAGCGGGCTTTCGCCCTACGGGATGTGCCGCAGGCCCCGACTATGGGTCAATAGTGGGGCCTCAACGCGAAGCTTCTTGAACTCATCAACTCTGATGAACGGTGCTGATGCGGGTAAACTAACGGAAGCTTTGCCGCTTTGACCGTTCCTTGACCCGCTATTGGGCACGAAATGCGGGGTTATTCCTCCACGGCTTGGGAGGCAGACAGGAAGTCGGCGTCGGCGAAATCCGCGAAGCGGTCGGGGAGGAATTGGCCCATGTCGGAAACGACTTCGGTTGAACCACGGCAGATATAGTCGGCGATGATGCGGCCGGTGATGGGCCCCAGGTGGATGCCCTTGGTGGTGTGCCCGGTAGCCAAAAGGACGCCTTCTCGGCCGGGGACCGGGCCGATGATGGGTTTGCTGTCGGGGCTCAGGGGGCGGGAACCGGCAAGCTGCTGGACCAACCCGGCTCGCTCCAGGTCCGGAAAGACGTCTATGGCCCGCTGAAGGAGTTCCAACCGGGCAGTTTCGGTGGGCTGGTTGTCAAACTCCTCTCCCCAGAAAAGCTCTTTCTCGTCATAGTCCCGACCGCCGGTGCTGCCGACGCTGGTCAAACCGTCCAAGCGGCTGATCATGTGACCGCGCTTGGGAGAACTGATCAGCACGGAAAGGGGTTCGCCTGGGTAATTGAGCAAGAGGCGCTCACCCTTCATGGGGCGGACCGGAACGGGAAAGGCCAGCCAGGGAGTGAAAGCCCGGCTCCAGGTACCAGCGGCCACCACCACTGTGCTGCAGGGTATGTCCCCGGAGGCGGTCTTTACGCCGGTAATCGTGGGGCCGCTGGTCACCAGGCCGGTTACTTCCCGTTGCAGGATGCTGGCGCCTTTGAGTTCTGCGCTCCGGCCCAGGGCCAGGTTGAGGCGGTAGCTGTCCAACTGGGCGGACTCGTCCTCGTACACGGCGCCGACGATGGAAGGGGAAAGGCGGGGTTCGATAGCGTGGACTTCCCGGGCGTCAATCCAATGCATCTTTACGTGGGGTTGCTGCCAGACCATCAAGCCCTTAATCAGGTCTGCCTCCTCGTCGTCCAGGGCCAGCCGGAGAGAAGGGCGGCGCTGGTAGAGCAGGTCCATGCCTGTGGCGGCTTCCAATTCAGGAACTAACTGCGGAAACTCGGCGTAAGCGGCCCGGGCCATCTGGAAGGACTCCCCGGGGGAGAACTCGGCGCCCAGCAGGCTCAGGGAACCGGTAGCGTGGGCAGACGCCCCGCTGCCCATGGCTTCCCGCTCCAGGAGGATCACATTGACGCCTTCCCGGGCCAGGTAATAGGCCACCGAGCAGCCCACCACACCGGCGCCAATCACAACTACGTCGGCACTCTCAGGCAAACTCCTGCCCTCCTATGGTAGTTTTCGGGATTATCACCGTGAGCCGCAAGGGTGTCAATCGGGGTGTATTATCTAAATGGACTATTAGATTTCATCATTTGAGAATATCCGATCCCCACAATCAGGAGATTCCTCATGGACATCACCAGGCGTATCGGTGAATACGTGACCCACGCTGGCATCGAGGACTTCCCGCCCGAAGCGGTCATAGCGGCCAAGGGGGCAATTATGGACTGCCTGGCGTGTATGCTGGCCGGCAGCCGGGAATCGCTGACGGACATCCTTTGCCGCTACGTTGCCGCCGAGGGCGCCGCTCCTGCCGCCAGCGTCGTGGGTCGGGGATTCAGGACATCGGCGGCCAACGCTGCCCTGGTGAACGGGGCTATGGCCCACGCCCTCGACTACGATGACATTACCCACATTACCAAGACCCACCCCACCGCCGTCCTGTTGCCCGCGGCCCTTGCGGTATCCGAGGAGACCGGGGCTACCGGACAGGAGATGCTGCTGGGCTACATGGCCGGGTTCGAGGTGGCCTGCGGCGTGGGCGAGGCCCTGAGCGAAGCCTATTACGATGACCTGGGCTGGCATCCCACCGGCCCACTGGGAGCCATCGGTTCGGCGGCGGCAGCCAGCAAAATAATGGCCCTGGACCCGGAACAGACGGCCATGGCCATCTCCCTGGCCGCGTCCCAGGCGTCGGGACTGAGGCAGAACTTCGGCACCATGACCAAGCCCTTCCACGCCGGGGATGCCGCCCGGGCCGGCGTAGTATCGGCCAGGCTGGTACGGGACGGCTTCACCGCCAGCCAGGACGCCCTGGAAGGACGGTTCGGGTTTATCCGGGCCTTCTCCGGCGGTCAGGGCTTCAACAGCGAGCAGGTGGTGGAGAACCTGCAGAACAAATGCTACCTGGTGGAATCGGGCATCGAAATCAAGAAGTATCCCTGCTGCGGCAGCGCCCACCTGGCCCTGGATGCCACCTTTAACCTGCTGTCCCAGGGCGCCATCGACCCGCAGGCGGTAGACAAGATCGAGGTAATGGTGGACTTCGACCCGCCGCGCTCGTTAATCCACTCCCGCCCGATGTCGTCGCTGGAAGGGAAGTTCAGCATGCAGTATTGCCTGGCTGCCGCCCTGCTGGACCAGCGGGTGGGGCTGCAGTCCTTTTCCGACGAGCAAGTGTTGCGTACTGATGCCCAGTCGCTGATTCCCCGCATAGATATGCGCCGCATCCCGGGCAACGAGGGCAAGCCAAGTTGGACAGAGGGCTATAACGAGGTTGACGTACACCTGAAGGACGGCACTGTGCTCCGGCAGCAGGCGCACCGGGCCAGTAGCGGCGCCCTGCGCGGTGTAACCGTGGAGGACATCCTGGAAAAATTTAGGGACTGCGCGTCGCAATCCCTGTCCGAAACAACGGCCGCGGAAGTCCTGTCCCGCCTGGACAGGCTGGAGGAGGCGGAACCGATCAGCGGTTTGGCGAACCTGCTCCGGGGGTGAGGTTATTGGACGGCGCCAGACATAGCGGGAATCAGTTTAGGGAACCTTTGCGAGAGTTCCTTCCCCCTTGATGGTGGAAGGTAACCTTGCTTGCAGATTATGGCCTCCAAATGGAAAGTCGATTCCCCCTCTCACAACACTGAACAGGTAAACTAGCACCGATGGAAACAGCGGCTCATTTTTCTTCAATTAGCGTAGCAGCAATAACCGTACTGGGGTTGCTTTGGGCCGGCTGGATGCAATTGCGCAAACACCGAAACCGGAGACGGGACAGGCTAATCGCTTTGTTGCGTATTTGTGCAGCACCATCCCAATATTGGCCCAACTACCTGCCTGAATGCCCTTCAGTGGAATTAACCCCAGCACATCATTTGGGTATGAACGAAAGCCACAGAGTAAGCATCAATCACATTCTGGTAGGCGATGAAGTCCCTTCGCAGGGTAAATGGTGGAAAGGCAGGAAAAAGCCACTGGCAGTAATCAGTTTCTCGACTTCAACCAATCCACTCGCCATTGTCCCTGATAAGCAAAAAGAAGGACAAAGAATCCAAACCAAGTCACGGGCCTACCCCGACTATGGTTTCATATTGGGATTTAATTTGTCGTTGCTTGATTCTCCAGACAGCCACGACCTTGCTTCCAACAATTCTTTCCTGCTCAGGAACATTCTCTCGAAGTGCCACTGGGTGACTGCTGGCCCACACCAAAAGCTGATGTGGTTCCCCTACGCCATTACCTACACCACCTGCGAAAATCCCCGTGGGAATTGTGTGCAGTTTTGCTCTCGAATAGCTTCAAGAGGGCACGGGGCGCAGATTCGGGCTTTAGGGTGGGATGATGGTGATGGCGTCAGAGCAACGTACAACAAAGCAGAACGACTCTTTGTATCGTCGGGAATCGTACCCGAACATCCGATATGGGCAGAGAGTCATAGCAGGACAGAAGGCCCTCAGAGAGTTCGCCAACTGGTATATGATGCCTTGGCAGAGACTATCGGGACAAATTGCGAAAGGCTTGCTATCCCTAATCCTAAATGGGGTAACATTTTCCCCCTTCCCATTGCGCCTGAAACAGTAATTCGAGAATTGGGCTGGGTGTTGCATCGGCAACTGCCTTCAGACGAATGGGAATTCGTCCACCAATGCCGAGTACGGCTGACAGAATGGGGCTATCAGGGAGTGCGTTACAATCAACCGTTATGCCCCTATCCAACAAATAATATTGCCAGCTAGAAAGTCATACAGTCGTTCCAGAACGAATGGGATGTAAAGAAGACCAAGTTTCCGTTCAGAGAGGAATGGGCAGACGCCTGTCAAGACATTATCCGGGATACCTTCCCTTTAACATTGTTGCCCCTGCCGGAAGGTTCTGAGTCGCACTGGTTGCCAGCAGAACAACGAGATTGGGGTGAGGTGGTTCAATGAAAAATCCTGCAGAGGAGCACAACCAACGATGAAACAGTGTCGCTTGGACTTTTTCATCAGTTTGGCGACTTATGCAACAATATCGACTTTTTCCGCAAATCCAACCTTCCCCCATCAAGGGGGAAGAGACTACGGACCAGGGGCCGGTTTGTAAACCGGCCCTGGCACGTTTTCACCCCCGGCAGAACCTTCACGCGCTGGTGAAAATCTCGTTGGCAATGTCCATCGCTTCCCGGGCGAAGGGTATTCCGGCATATAACGTCATGTGGCCGAACACCTCGATAATCTGGTCCTGCGTATACCCGATGTTCAGGGCGCCACGGATGTGGCCCCGCAGGGGACCATGGCGGCCCAGGGTCGCCAGGCAGGTCATGGTGCAGAGGCAGCGGCTGTTCAGGTCCAGCCCTGGCCGCGTCCAGGTAGCTCCCCAGTAGTATTCTCCGGTAGTACGTCCCAACTCCACCTCAGCTTGAGTAGGGGGAGCCGGCCGGGCCGGGCCGCCGGTTCCCATGTAGTTGCGGCGGTACTCCTCGCCCCGCTGGAACAGGCTGTCGGGGTCTTCATTGCCGTCGTGGATGCGGGCTGGCGTGAAGTCTATCCCGCGCTCGTCAAAAACCGCCTTGCACAGCGTCAAGGCCTGGATTCCGGCCGGCGCTCCACTGTACCAGGTGTCGTGAATGATCAGTTCCACGACCTGTTCCGGCGTCAGTCCTATGTTCAGCGCATTGCCCAAGTGCCGCTTCAGCTGTACTTCGCGGTTCATTACTATGAGGCACGACAGGGTGATCATCTCCCGCTGCACCGGCGTCAGCGCCGGACGCCTCCAAATGGTGCCGAACAGGCCCTCGCCAAGTATCCTCTCCAGGTCCGGTGCGATGTCCCATGCTCCCGGCGACGACCCGCCGGTGATTTGCCCGCCGCCAAACATCCTCCGCGTTTCCTGACCACGTTCGTAGCGGTCGTCCAGTTCACTCATAGCGTTCCTCCATAGTGCGTGTGTACCGATTCCAAGCGCGTTCCAATCGCCGACAGTGTACGGCGGCATACCGGCAGGCGCAACGACTCCACCTGGCCTGCCATGGGTTTCCCTAAGCTGCTCCCTCGCTCATTTGAACCACCGTGTCCTTAACCACCGTGTCCTGCCGCCTGGGCATAGCCCGCCGAAGGAATGGCAGTTCAGTGGGGCTCCCATCAAACCCAAAACACGGGCAGGCTAATTGCGCCAATATTGTGGGTATTCTCAACAGGGGACAAGAAAGGAGTGCCCCTTCGGGCCCTATCGGCATTTGTAGCCGATGAATAATCTGGCGCCTAACCTGCGGCGCAGGTGAAGTCCACGGCCAACCGATCGGTTAGCGGCGGGCCATCGTCAGGCTCTGTCATGTCCCGGTCGAAGACCCGTACCGGCGAGTTGCCGGCCAGATCCTCAAGTTGGCGCTCGACTATCAGTTGGTGGCGGCCTTCAATCCAGGGCGATTCCGGCGCGAATAACCAGCTTCCCTCGCCTCGTCCGGTTTCCACGCTGCCGGATACCGGTGTCCCAAGGGGGCCGCTGACCCAAAGGCATCGCTGCAACAGGGCATAGTCCAGGGGACGCTCGAACTCCACCGCCAGGGGTTCCAATGAACCGGCGGCGGGAACGCGAAGCTTCCACCGTTGGGGGTCAATCCGCAGCCTGACTTCCGGCCCTACCTCGTAACGACGTTCGGCGCCTGCTTTAAGCGGTCGGCCCTTGGCATCGCGAAAATCGGGGTCGATGAACAGCCGGAAGGGAACTCCCTCAATCAGGGGGTAACCAACTTCCAGGTTAGGGACCAGGCCGTGCTTGATCCGGGCCGGGTCCAGCAGCAAGGTCAGACGTTGTCTGGAACGGTCCCATAGTTCCGGGTCCATGGGAACGAAAACGCCGTCCAGGGGTTCCTGCGTATCGTCCCGGCATACCCGGATGGCCTGCTCAGCCCTGCCATCACTCATCGGTTCGGAGAACTGCACGTAGAATTTGAGCAGGTTAACCGGAACCTGTTCAACATCGGGATAGATGGCGACGACGCTGGCAGCAGGAGCGGACTCCACCGCAGGCCGCTGGATGTTCCAGAATCCGGGGCTATCGGATGTTCCGCCGACCAGGGGATGGTACACCAGCAGGGAGTAGCGCATTCCGGCAATAAAGGGGAAGCGGGGGATAAAGTAGACCGAGTAGACCGACTCACCGGACAACTCGAACCGCCCGGCAGCGGCAGGGATGGCCCCGGGTTCCACTCCGGATTTTACGCCGGATTTTACGCCGGATTCCAGGGCCTCGGAGGTTAGCAGGGCCAGACACCGGTTTAGCTCACCGGCGTCCAGCCCTTCGAGTACGCCAAGTTCGGCAACGGTCCAGCCGCTGACCTTCAGCGAGTCCTTTCCGCGATAGTCGCACCAGGTCAGCGCCAGGTCATGTGATTCCGTATCGGGGCGTCGGGTCACAGGGTCACAACTCGTCGACACCGTAGGTATGCAGGTGGATACCCCCTTCTGAATCTTCCTGGAGCATGACTACGCTGTTGTCGCTCAGGTTGGCCATGCGCCTGACGCCTTCGTGGGGCAGAATCTGGCGGGGCACGCCCACCGGCGGGGTTACCGGATCAGCCGGACTCTGGTCCAGCGACTGGTCGGGCACGAGCAGCGGACCCTGGCTTTCAATATCCACGCAGGCAATCTTGATCAGCGGGTGCCGGTCGTTAGCCACCAGCAGGTATTCTTCATCGCCGTGTTGGTAGGAAACCAGGTCCAAAGGCCGGTTGTGGGCGCCCAATTCAGCCACCGTCTTGCCGTGGGCCAATTCGCCGGGCTTGAAGTCGCTGACGGAGAACTGCACCACCGGCGTGCAGGTGTAGCTGGCCAGGATGCTGTTGTTCCCCTGGTAGGGGACGAAGGCGCGAATGGGCGCCGCAGTTTCGTACCGGCCGTGGGAAACGTGGAAAATCTCCAGGGAATTGGAGTTGGTATCGCCGTTGAAGGGGAAGGGAATGCGCCGCAAGGTGGACGAGAATTCCTCGTTGGAAGTGCCCGCTACCACCAGCAGTCCATCAACATAGGACATATCGGTGATGGTCACCGTTCGCAGTTTGACGCGGGTAACCTCCCGCGGGTCGTCTTGGTCAGCGGCGTCCTCGATGGCCGTTTGGGAGAAGCCGATGTTCTCCAGGGACACGTCGGAGATGCCACCGTTCCCACCGTTCCCACCGTTCCCACCGAGCCGGATTATGACCGGAACCCCCGCGTCGCCGCTGCCCCGCATGACCGACAGATAGACGTTTTGGGACCAGGGATGGACCGCCATGTCGCGAATTTGAACGTCTTCGCGGGAGCAGCCCAAGTACCCGGCCAGGGAAGTGTCCAGGTTCTCCAGGTCAATCGCGCTCGATTCGCTGGCTTCTACTTCGCTGGCTTCTATTTCTCTGGCCCGTGGGGAGTCACCCGCATCAATCGCGAAAATTGCGGCTCCAACGTTGTCCCCCACGAACAGGACGCCTTCCGGCCCGAAGGCCAGGGGGCCAACCGATTTAATGTCCGGAGACCCTATTGCCAGACCGAGTTCTTCCATTGCCGTGGCTTGATCTACCATCTTATCCTCTTATCCTCCCATGCTGTGGCCGTATCATATAGGCCGAATTCGGGTATTCTGTCGGATTACCGTGAGATTCTGGGGGTAAAAGCCTAGTATTCGTTGCCAGTTTAGCATTCCCGGCCCGCATTCACCACCGCCCTGAATTCCCTGACGCAAATGGCCTCTGTTGGCGTGGTCTGCAGCTACTCCCAAGCATTGCTCCTCAATCCGCCCATAATTGACCCCGTTCAGAGCATCGGGCTATATTGAATAAAACCTCACTGTTGGAGTGCAGCTATGACCAGCCCTGCCGACCTCAAGATGACCATCGGAGACCTTCTGAACCGCCAGGCGGACCGGTTCGGTGACCGAGACGCCCTGGTCCACGTGGACTGGGATCTTCGCTACACCTGGAGCCAGTTCAGGGAAGAGTGCGAAAGCATTGCCCGCGGCCTGATGGCCCTGGGCATCAACAAAGGCGACCACGTAGCCCTCTGGGCCACAAACTACCCCGAGTGGGTCATTGCCCAGTTCGCCACTGCTCAGATAGGGGCAGTGCTGGTTACAGTTAACCCGGCCTACCGCACTCATGAACTGGAATACCTGCTCAGCCAATCGGACGCTGCCGCCCTCATGCTCATAGGCAACTTCCGGACTTCCGACTACGTTGGAATGCTGCAAGAGGTGGCGCCCGAGTTGGCCCATTCGTCGCCAGGCCAACTCCGGTCGGACAAGTTCCCCGTACTCCGCAACGTGATTTACATCCCACCCCACGACGGCACGAGCACGGCGCCCCCCTCGGGCATGTTTTCCTGGCATGACCTGCGGGGCCTGGGCGGAGAAATCACCCCGGAGGCTTTGGCCCAGCGCCAGGCGGATTGTCACCCGGATGACGTCATCTGCATCCTGTACACCTCGGGCACCACCGGCAACCCCAAGGGCGTCATGCTCACTCACCACAACCTGGTGGCCAACGCCACTTACACCAAGGAGGGCCTCCTGTTTACCGAGGAGGACCGCCTCTGCATTCCGGTGCCCTTCTACCACTGCTTCGGCTCAGTCCTCGGCACCCTGTGCTGCGCCACCGCCGCCGCCGCCATGGTGGTCCCCTCCGAGTACTTCGAACCCGAAAAGGCCCTGGTGGCGGTGGAAAAGGAGCGATGCACCGCAATCCACGGTGTACCCACCATGTTCATCGCCGAGTTGGAGCACGCCAACTTTGACCAGTTCGACCTCGGCTCCCTCCGCACCGGCATCATGGCCGGCTCTCCCTGCCCCATTGAGGTCATGCGCCAGGTAATCGACCGCATGGGTTGCCGGGAAATGACCGTCGGCTACGGCCTGACCGAGGCGGCCCCCATAATCACCCTGACCAGGTCCGACGACGCTATCGAGCGGCGGGTGTCCACTGTGGGTACCGCCGTTCCCTACGTTGAGGTGAAGATTGTAGACCCGGACACCGGGGAAGAAGTGCCCGTCGGAGAGCAGGGCGAGCTGTGCTCCCGCAGCTTCATGAACATGAAGGGCTACTACAAAATGCCGGAAGCCACCGAGGCGGCCATCGACGCTGATTCCTGGCTACATACCGGAGACCTGGCCACCGTGGACGCCGACGGTTACTTCAAGATCACCGGACGCTCCAAGGATATGATCATCCGCGGCGGGGAGAACGTCTATCCCCGGGAAGTCGAGGAATTCCTCTATACGAACCCCAAGGTGGCCGACGTCCAGGTAATTGGTGTCCCCGACCAGCGTTTCGGAGAGGAAATTATGGCCTGGGTGTCGCTGCGGGCAGGGCAGGAAGCCACCGAGGAAGAGATAATGGACTTCTGTCGAGGCCGGATCGCCCACTATAAGGTGCCCCGCTACGTCAAGTTCGTGTCCGAGTTCCCCATGACCGTCACCGGAAAAATCCAGAAATACGTCATGCGGGAGGTCTCCATCCAGGAACTGCAACTGGAAGGCGCCGCCAACATCGAGACCGCCTAGCAAGCTGCTTGCCCAGGGCGATTGGATAAGGGCCGTGTGTCGACTCGGCCACTTCCTTAACCCACTCCGCAAGCAGCAAACAACCTGCCTTCCACTCCTGCTAAGCCCCCACCACCCTTACGCGGTGGTTGTTGCTGTCGGCGTTATTCTCAAAATTGCTGACTACGATTGGCAGTTCCTTTCTTTCGTAGTTGATAACTAAGCTGCTAATTCAGGCAAGTAAAGGCTAACGATATAAATACGAGGGTTTCTTTCTAAAATGGGCAAATAGGATACACTGATTCAGCAGCTGGTTATGGAGCATCAGTGACAGATAGCTACAATGAATATGGTATACGGAATTTGCCAATAATGATCGGAGCTTTAGCGAAGTACCAAGCCAAGCTAATAGGCGCAATATCGGGTGACGGAATTTATGCTTACCGTGGCCAGCAAGATTACGACTGGCCCTTGCATTCGGCAGCTACACGCAGGTTGATCAAGGAACACGGTCAGGAAGCATTGGACGACCCCGATTTTACCCAGTCATATATTGGCTACCATCGAGATGTGTTCCTTGACCCTGCGCGTACACGGGGGTTTGGGCACGAACGAGGGCGGCGCTTGACCGACATAGAGTTGTTAGCGAAGTTGCAGCACTTTGGTGCAGCTACTGGACTCCTCGACTTTACTTGGAACCCACTTGTAGCCTTGTGGTTCGTGTGCGAAGACTACTCCATTGACGGCAAACTATACGCGATCAACACCAACGATCCGCTAAGAGTATCTAGGGTTCCCACCGACGAAAGCAGACAGAATGTTGCCGACATCTTCACGAATCAGTCAAACCTCCCGACATTGTATTATTGGGAACCAACAGCAACCGGAGAGCAT